ATGAAAAACCAAGAAAATATATTGTTTCAAACTATTAAAATGTCAATAAAAGTCAATCACTCTGTTAGACTATAGTTAATTTTTCAGAGGAGACATCAAGATCAATATAATTCATATCAAAAAGGTATAAATTTCTGAAAATACCTATAAATGAAGAGCTATGGACAAGTTCTGCACCGTAAAACCCAATAAGTTACTCAAACCATTTGAGGAAACCAATTGCAACAAACCATTTAGGTTCAAATCTAATCCTAATAAGTACTGTGAACTTAATCCATTTGAGTACATGAAGCTATTTGAGCACAGAAAAACCCAATAAAAGAAGAGAACTCAAACCAACTGAGTACTGTAAAACCTTATTAGTTAAGGCAACTCAAACTGTTTGGGGAAACTGATTGCTACAAACCATTTGAGTTATAAAACTAATCTATAGAAGTACTGTGAACTTACTTCATTTAAGTTAGTTAGTTAGTTAGTTGCATGTGTACATTATTAATGTTTAATCAACACTTAATCACTTTATTTACTCATTAACTTCAACAAAGGGTTCAAAACTCTTTTTAAATTAGTAGAATTAGCTTACAGTAAATTTTGTGTAAACTACACTCATTTCATTTGATACATTTGACTGTTGGGTTTTACAGCGTGTTAAAAATTCACAGTTATACAAAAGTTAATGAACGTATTTTTCACAGAGTATGCTGCCGTTCAAAGGTTTGGGGTCAAACACATAATTGCGTAAAATGTTACAAATTAGTCTCAAAAGTGACTAAGATTGCTATTTTAAATAAATGCTGTTGATTTGAAGTTTTAACTGGCAGTATATGTACAATATAAAATGACTGCATGTTTGTTGAAAAAAGGAGCCCTTCAAAAATATTTGTAAATCTTACAGACTCTTTCAACAGTAGTGCACTTAAGCCTGCCTAAAAAATGTTTGACATTTTTCCCATTCCTTCAGTGTTTGGTTATTCGATATTTGCTTTTATTTTATTATTGCAAAAGTAAATGTTTGTTTTACCACATGCCTTTATTAGGCAATGCTAAATGTGGAATAAAAAACATTTTTGTTACACTTTATTTTATAGCTGCCTTTTAAACATTTTGTTAACTAAATTATGCAAACTATCAACTAACTCTCATTGCAGGATTCGTAGATAGTTAAGGGTTGGGAATAAGCTTAATAGAATAAGCTAACAAGCAAAAATAATTATAGTCACTATGATGTCTCTAGTGAGACCATCAATAAATTGGTTACATTCAGTATGAGGGTGTGCAAGAGATCTGCAGAGAGGATGTCAACATTGACAGCCTGAGGTTTTTGCCCTTTCATATAAGCCACTTCTGATACCGAATGATCAACTAGAAGTCAAGTTATTATTTGTTGTTCCTAAAATTTTGAAAGGCAACATGACTTTTGTCAAGTAGTGTATAAAGTCAACATGATGTCTAAAGGGGGCCATCAAAATAACTTATACTTGCATTTTTAGTCTTTTATTTTTTAAGTATCTGTGGTCAAACTTACAAACAGAACGTTAATGTAAACATGTTACCAGTATGCCGAACAGTAGTATAGAAGTGTGGCTGTGGGTGCTCTTATTGGACCCTGACGTGTGGATTGGAAATGAGGGTGTTTAAACAGCAGTGACCTCATTCAGGAAGTCAGTTTTGTATCTGAGGAAACGGGAATAGCGTGAGGCAGTAATGGTCAGAAGTTCCTCTTAGGCATATCAGGAATGACACACAGAGAATGGCGAGAATAAGTTAAAAACTGTTAAATGTATAATTACCATTGCAAAATATAATTTATTTTTTTTTTTATCATTTTAAAGATAGCGGAAATTGACTCACATTGTGACTTCATATAGTAACTTGCAACAGAAATGGTTCAGAAAAGTACTGTGTATTAATGTGTAAAAACTATACTATAACTTAAACTACCCCTGAAACTAACCTTGACCTTAACTCCCTATATATGTACATTATATACTTTTTAAAATAAGTACGCATGTGCTGTACAATAAAATCTGATCGAAAACTATTTGTTATAATCTCAGGGTTTCTGCAAGTCTCACAGAGTTAAATTTAAGACTTTTTTAGACCATTTTAAGACCATTATGAATAAAATTTTAGACTCATAATGCGCTAAAGGCTAAAGAACTTTTCAAATGACCCAGATGAAAAAGATTTTTACTTGACCTATTAAAACAAACTATTATAATTTAATACTCATAATACATTAATAATAAACAATTACAATATTTTAGATTTTATTTCTAAGCTAAATATTTTAAATATTGTGTAAAAACAAGCAAGCTCTACTTGTATCCATACACTTTTTCCCAACATAAACTTCTTAAAAATAAAAAATGAACAAATGTTTTAAAAGGTTTAAAAACTATAATAAACTAAATCTATGGACAACAATCTGTCCAGGTCAGTGTCGTCAGCAGTAAATATATGGAGAACTAGTATTTACTGTATAAAATTTACATTGTATAAATATAATTAACATTGTACAAACAAATGTTATTTTAAAGAAGATAATTCAATTCAGATTGGGCAGGAATACATGAACACAGGAAAAATAAGACCTGTTTTTTTTTTTTTTTTTTAAATAAGACCTAAAACACAGTATTGCAGTAAATGTAAGACTTTTTAAGGCCTAAAATTTGGATTTTGAGATTTAAGACATTTTAAAACTTTTAAGACCCTGCAGAAACCCTGTAAGCTGGCATTCATCCATTTAGTTTGATGTTTAGCCTAACTGGTTGAAATGAATACATTAATTGTGTCTAAATGTATTAAGTTATTTGTTGAAGGGGGTGGGGGGGTGGGGGGCAGGACATGCAATGGGAAAAGAACTAAAATCACACATTGTTTTGATGCCTAAAACCCTCTTTTGGTGTTCGGAGTCTGCATGTGCATGTGTTTGTGGGTAAGTAAGGTTAGCTTAAACGTCTGGGCCTCTTTGTATGCTAACTCTAGGGTGGCAAGAGCCATTTCTCACTACATCTCCACTGGCATGGTATGCCAAACACTCCCAATGACTCGTGGGAAATAGTAGGCATGGAACATTCCTGCCTTTTCCTCCCACTCTCTGTTGTTTTTTTGTCCCCCGTGGACTGGTTTTCACACACATTGTGACCTGTGTAACATGTAAAGCTGGATTAGAGACTGCAAGTGTGTTCACTCTGATGTTTATGGCCCTCAGGGGCTGTTTGTGAGGGTCTCTGAACTACTATCTTGTTACTGGTGTGCCATTAAACATAATAGCTTTTGCCTTATCTGGATTCAGTCAGTGGTGTTCAAACTAGAACTGACAGATAGCTAGCAAGTGTTTGCTGATGTGGGCTGAAGTGTGTTTTTGTAAACATCATACTGTAGTGGACAATGCAGATGATTAGGGACATTTTAAGGGGTTAGTCAATTATTTACTTACCTTTATACCTCTCCAACTCATATTCCATGGGGGAAAATGAATAGTGAAGAATGTTCATCCTGCTTTTCTCCATGAAACAGAAGTCTAAGGCTGCCAAGCATTGCTGCAATGGTTGCTACATGAAATGCAGAAAACATTTGGCATTAGTTAATAAAAAAATATGCAGTCAAAAATGAAAGCAAGATATGCCTTTCTTTCTTTCTTTCTTTCTTTCTCCCTTTCTCTTTCTTTCTTACTTTCTCCTTTCCACCATGCCAATTTATGGATATATTTGAGGTGCAAATCAGATTTAGCTACTCCAAAAGTAAAATTAGATGTTTAAGCCTTCTCTGAAAGCTTCAGAACAAAATTTGCATAGAATACTTTTATTTTAAATTGTATTATGATCAAATAAATGCCCCATGATAAGCATATAAATAAAAATTAATTGTCTCCCTTTTTTGGATGCCCAGTTTTTCTCGATTAAAAAAAACTACTAAAACAACTAATTAACTAAAACACATTTTCTGAACCCTTGCTCCATTTTCTTATACCATTAAAGACCAAACCTTATCTTCAAACAAGCACGATTACAGTTTTTCTCAGTTGTTTACACACAATTACTTGTACTTCAGACACAATGACTACAACATGTAACTGATGCAACCCTCTGAACCAATTCCTGCTTTACACTCAAATTGCACGTTTAAAACATTTTTTAAAAAACACTACACACAATTCTCAGCATTTGGCACACTTTTCATGCAGAAAATCTCTTGTTTTTACAGGGAACACAATGTCATTCAAAATTGTAAAGTCAGTTGCCCTCTCATCACATGGGTAAACACCTGTCACACATAAGTGCGATTTAGAAATCAGAGCTCATCTGATTCATAACTTGTTCACGTCTTTTAGTTGTTTATCTCCTCCATATTCTCCATTCCTCAAACCTATTAAGAATTTTTTTTTCTGCCTGGGGATGGAAAGTGTATAACCAGAATCCACCCCTTCTCAAGCTATTGAAGATGCATAAAGGAGATATAGCAGTTGATGCTTTTCATGGCTGGATTCGTCACACCATTGGTTGGGATGAACACCTTAACAAACAGTCAAAACACCCTAGCAACCATTCATAACACCCTAGCAACCCATTAGCAACTACTCAGAACCCTCTATTAACAGCCTTGCAAAAAACATGCCAATCCATGCTAGAAACATGCTAACATATATGTATTTTTTTATCTATGCTTGTTTCAAATTTCTTAAAACTTTAAGACAAAGCCACCATATATATATATATATATATATATATATATATATATATATATATATATATATATATATATATATATATATATATATATATATATATATAGATAGATAGTAGTTTGACAATGTCTGCACTCACTTTTTTGTATGACAAAAGAGAATCATGAACATATTGCTACTCCACCTAAAACAAAAACAATTTTAAGTGAGAAAAAAGTCTGTAAATCTCTTGACAATTATATTCAAAGTTATACAACAAGCATGTGTACATTTAAACATATCAGCCCTTTGTTCTCCTTGTGTGGTACAGGACACAGAGGCAAACTGTCCTGCAAGTATCCTCGAACCCGAGTCAGACCAGAGCTTCAATTCTCCTAAAGTAAGCAGACCATATTTAAGCACTTTATTTTGACTCGGGAACTTTTAATGAACTTGAATACTTTTTTTCAGAGTCCACCGTTGGATTTGATTGATACAGGAAAAGGACTGAAGGTACAAACTGCAACCCCTCATCTGGTCAGTCTGGGCAGTGGAAGACTCAGTGTGGCCATTACTCTTCTACCGCTGAAAGAGGGTATGAGCTTTTGTCTCTCTGTTTGACTTTTCTTATCACATGATCATCCCTCCTTCACACAAACCCAAATATCCATGAACAATAGCCTGCAAAGAATAGATGTGACCCTCCATCTATGTGTGCCTTCATAAAATAGTGGATCCATGTGGCTTTTTTTGTTGCTGGCGAGCTTAGGTTATCGTAAAAGGAAGGAGGAGGAAGGATGGGGGTTTTCTAATGTAATATTCCCCATGCCGGAAGCAGGTGTGTTTTATTTAGTCTTTGCCCTAAAGAGGGTCCACCTGTCTCTGATTACACTAGAGATGTAATGGGGTGAAAAGTACATATCAGTTATCAGTATTAGCACTGTTATGTTAAAATGAGATGAAAATATTTAATCAGAACTGACACACAAAGCATTTCTGTATTATATCTGAAAATTAATAATCAACATATAATATTTGTAGCTCTGTGCTGTTTTATGATCATAAAGAACATTAATGTGTATTTCTGTGAGTTAAATTTTTCTGAATGTAGGTTTTAATTAACAGTAGAGGGCTCGCAAAATTGCTAGCCTGATGTTCCAGGGCTGTTATGCTTTCCAGCCATGCTATCAAATGTTGATTCACACTGCACTTATCATTTATTTACCATCTTAATGAGAAATAAAACATAGCCTATTTCAGTGGTTTTGCATTCTCTCAAATATTGAGTATTTATATTGTATGTAATTTTGATGCATCAAGGAACCACTTGGGTCATTCAATAGGTATTTGAATTTACACATTAGCATAAGAACCAGTACTATGGTAGCAATTAGATTAAAAAAAATAAAAAATAAAAGGTAAGCCTACCAGGTTTTCACATGACTTTTACCATAACATTAAATAAAATGTGTTAATTTTCAAAAAATATGTACAGTATAAAGCTGATAATGAACTCAATTATATATTTTCAACTATATTATATATTATCAATTATATATTTGCTTCAACAGCAATGATTTAGAAAACTTTACAGCACTCTTGCATCACCATGAACACTGTGCTCTTGCTTTATTTAAATGCAACTTTGTCTCAGGGGTATTGAATGTATCAGGTATTGAATGTATTTCAAATGGAATTGGAGGAAATTAGTATCAAGATAATTGACATGAGATTTTAAAACAGAAATACATGCTTTAAGTCCATCTAATTGTTTACAGTTTAATTGTGAAATTCTGCATGTGATAAAGGTACAATAAATGTAGATTTTCTTTTTATGGGGAAGATTCACATTAGTTACAAGTGGTATATATAAATATATCCACCCATATAGACGGCATGCAGCATCTGCAATAAAAAACTGATTCTGGCTGTGCAGGATTTTCCAAAACGTGGTTCTAAAAGAATATTTCTACCGAAAATGAAAATGTACTTACAATTTACTCACACTGAAGTGGTAGGTCTTTCTTCTGTTGAACACAACAAAACATTATGAAGAGTGTTGGAAAAGCAGCCATTACCATCCATAGAAATTAAAAAATAAAATATATCTTCTATATCAATATATCTACAATCTTGAGCAAGTAGTGGATGAGTAAATGATGACAGTTTTCATTTTTAAGTGAACTTTATTCCTTTAACGATAATTAATATTTGGAACAGGATCACCATTAATGGTTTTACACCAATAAACCTTCAGAAATTTTGACTAGGGTTAATTGTGAAACCTGTAATTGTTCCATCCCTGGATTCCATGCTGTCAAGATTGTTCACTTCTGCACACATAAAGCTCATACTTTGCTCATCTTATCACGGTCACTATAGTAAACAGTGGAATGCAATCTGAGAATGGCGCAGGAAATGAAGTATGCAACCTATCAGAATAGAGACAGGACAAGAAGTCAAGCTGACTTCCTCCCAGCGGGAATGAGCAATAAAGTCACAGTTATTATTACAGAACCAAACACACACAAAGACAGGTTTAGACCTGCTATTTCAAGGGAGGTTAATTATGTTTTGATATAAAAAGAGCAAATATTTGACCATTTCCGCTAGCCATAGACTGTGAGGTGTTGAAGTCAATCTGTAACTGGGCAACTTGCGTCACTGGTTGAGTGTGTGTGCCAGCAGAGGTCAGAGGAGAGTGGAGATTTAGAACACACACACCTCATTCTTTTCAGCAGTGTGTCTCCATGCCAGAAACATTTATCTAGACTGTGAATAAAATTGACACAAATGCGAAAAAAAAAGTGCTATGAATATTTTTATCTAGCATTGGTGATGGCGTAGAATTATGTGAAACAGCTAAATATTGGCAATTGTATACTAAAGCATTGAAAAATTCAGATTTCAAACCCATTTAAAAAAATGTATCACTTTAATTTTATGTAATTTAGATCTTCAACCTATTTACTGACAGATGACATTCATTAATTTATTTTACTTCGGTTTAGTTCTTTTATTCATCAGGGGTCGCCACAGGGGAATGAACCGCCAACTTATCCAGCATATGTTTTAATAATAATAATAATTCCTTACATATATAGCGCTTTTCTAAACACTCAAAGCACTTTACACATTAGGGGGAATCTCCTCAACGACCACCATTGTGTAGTATCCACCTGGATGTTGAGACGACAGACATATTGCGCCAGACTGATTGGTGGAGAGGAGAGAGAGTGATGAAGCCAATTATGATATGGGGATGATTAGGAGGCTATGATAGAGAGAGGCCAGTGGGCAAATTTGGCCAGGATACCGAGGTTAAACTCTACTCGTTTTCGAAGGACATCCTGGGATTTTCCCCGACCCCAGATAGTCGGTACCTCAGTTTAACACCTATAACGCCTGTCTTTGGACTGTGGGGGAAACCAGAGCACCCAGAAAAAAGCCACACCAACACGGAGGGAACAAGCAAACTCCACACAGAAATGCCAACTGATCCAGCTGGGACTCGAACTAGCGACCTTCTTGCTGTGAGGCGACAGAGCTAGCTACTAAGCCACCGTGCCGCCTGACAGATGACAAAATGTGAATAAAACAAAGAGGGCTCTCATTAAAAACAATTAGAATGGATGATTTCTGATGGAAATTTTAGGTGATGATAGTAAATGTATAGTAAATGGCAAAAAAACCTCCTTTTCCTAAAGTCCTTCATAAATTGTAATCTGCATGCATCTGAAGTAGACCAATGGTTAATAACAATACATGACGTGTCACAGATAATTATATACATAAAGTTGAAGTGAAAATTATTAGCCCTACTGAATTATTAGCCCCCTGTATATTTTGTTTCCCACAATTTCTGTTTCAAAAGTTCACACTTAGCTGATGATTTACAATAAGCTTGTTTGGCATGCTGTCCCGGGAGAGAGCTCTAAGCTCAAGGGATCCTCGAACCCAGGACGTTTGCACAGCGAGAGGTGAGATTGAGCTCAGGGATCTCGAAAACTCCCCTGCTGAAGTGGCTGAGGTGAACTACTTTGAGAAAGAAAAAAATACTGATGCTGGGAGCTAGAGTATGGTGCCCATTTGGCTTAGTCCGTTTATATATGACGCATATCTTTGGACGATGGAAAGAAACTGGGGAACCCGAGGGAAACCCATATGGACACAGGGAGAACTCTGTAGCGAAGGTTTTTTCTCCTCCCTTTTACCTACTGTATCTGATTTCCTCTTTCTAAAGCTACCTCTTGTCTGACCTGTCTTCCCCCTGAAATGCGTGATGTTTGTGTATGGTCAGAGGGGTCCAATTTCGCTACATGTAAAAGTGCATGTGACAAATAAAGGCTTTGTTCATCATCATCATCATCATCATCATTATACTAGAATTCAGCTTAAAGTGACATTTAAAGGCTTAATTAGGTTAACACGTTAGGGTGATTAGGCAAATCATTGTATAACAGTGGTTTGTTCTGTAGACAAAAAAATATATATATATTACTTTAGGTGGCTAATATTTTTGACCTTAAAATGTTTTTTTTATTATTTAAATTGCTTTTATTCTAATCAAAATAAAACAAATAAAAATTTCCCCAAAAATAACAAATATTATTGAAAATACTATGAAAAAAAAATATTTTAAATATTTATAGAAATTGGGAAATACTTGAAAAGGAAAAAATTAACAGGACGGCTAATCATTTTGTCTTCAAATACACAGTATTTGACTACTTAGAACATACAGTATAATGTGTCCTACCCCTTAGTACAAGCACACATTTTCTTCATTGTGAATACACACACACACACACATATAACTATACTTGTACTAATTTTAATCTAGATCCTTGATCAGGATTTAACTTAACCTGAAAATCCCCAGTACTCTAAAATGAGCATTTTCATCAAAATTCAATTTCAAAAGTCCCCAGGAGGTAAAGACGTAAAAGCCTCACAGTTGGTGAGAATATTTCAGCACTCAATAAAGCTGTCGGCTGAACGAACACCAGAACAACATGCAAGATTTAGAGATGAACTAATCAAACGCAGACTCGTGTAGCCTTGCATTTTTTACAACCAATATTAATACAAATTAAACTCACAAATCTCATACTTACAAAACGAGTGTCTTTATTGTCTAGGAGTGACACGCATAGGTCGCGATGACGCCCCTGTACCTCAGGACATCACTATTGAGGGTCCGGGCATTGAAGCGGAACATTGCAGGATTGAAAACAGAGGAGGGGTCGTCACCCTTGACCCCTGCGGACACCTGTGTTCACTCGATGGAGTCCCTGTAACCAGACCAACACAACTCACACAAGGTAACCAGGAACTGCAAATGCATTTGAGTTGTTGATGTGGGATTGCATTTATTGTCACGTGACAAAAATCATTGTAAATACTGTCATCATTTAAAATGCTTTTAATAGTTTTCTTTTTTCAAACATTTCTTTGTCTTCCATGGATCTCTTTTTATTAAAAAAAACACTTTAAAAAAACATTCAAAGTTTTTCACATTTTAAAAAAACATTCCCCTAACCCAGGGGTGTCAAACTCAATTCCTGGAGGGCCGAAGCCCTGCACAGTTTAGTTCCAACCCTGCTCCAACACACTTACCTGTAGGTTTCAAACAAGCCTGAAGGACTCAATTAGTTTGATCAGGTGTGTTTAATTAGGGTTGGAACTAAACTGTGCAGAGCTGCGACCCTTTTGGAACTGAGTTTGACACCTGTGCCCTAACCTATCCCATCCCAGAAAATCATAATAACAGTAAAAAAAATATTTTAAAATAAATAAACAAGTAAATAATAATAACATTGTTTTTTTTTTTACATTTTTGAGCCAAATCTCAAAAATGTGCGATGGTGTGACTCTCAAGCATAGTTTGAAAAGAAAATCGTGAAATCATTATGGCTAAATAAAGTGGCTATTTAAGTCATTTTTTTAATCTATACATTTAAAAAAAAAACATAGGAACTTACATTTACATTTGTCACTGAAACCATGTCCTCTGGTGTGACTGTTAAATTTGGAAATTTTATGTAAAACTTCAAGATCATGTGACTGAAGCCCCTTGTGAAGTTCATCATGTGCCCCTGTTAAGTTTTGTCTCAGAATTTATCACATATTTAACTTTTTTAACCAGTGCCACTATAAAATTGTTACGTTTTGTTGTACTTTGGTGTGACACCCGTTTATTGAAAATGTGCAAAAAGTCCAACATGTCATGGAGAAAAAAATATATTTATTATTCATAATTTCATATAAAATAAATAGCACTATATGAAGATAAGTGTCCAACAGTGAAGATAAATCACTCTCACCCTATAAAATATTAAGTGTTGTTTCCTTCAACTTTGCTATGTCATACCATAGAATATTTTATGGTACTTTTCAGTAAAAAAAAATAAAAGTAAAACTTTTAAACAAAAAAAACTGTGAAAGAATTGATAAAGTTAATAATTTCAGTGCCACTGGTGCTGCGACATGGACGTAAGCATGAAGGGGTACATCAAAGGTATACAAAGGTACCCGTTGGGTCACACTATCTCTAAACAATTCATTCTAAACAACTTTGAGGGTTACGTACACGGTTGTCAATGTTATGCGTTTGTTCTTGTTGCTTAGATATAGTAGGCAAAGCGCACAGTAATAATCACATCCAACAAACAAAGGATCAAAAGAAATAAAGTAATGTAATTCAATATATAAAATAGGAATTGATGTATACTTTAAACATTAATTATAATGTTCAATTTAAATTATATATATATATATATATATATATATATATATATATATATATATATATATATATATATATATATATATATATATATATATTTTTTTTTTTTTTTAATAATTTTTTGGCTCAAAAGTTTTGGAACCGGAAACATTTTTAAAGTATTGAATTAGCACCAGTGTCGAAATAACCCCAATATTGTTTTTTTTTTCCATTATTGTTTTGACCTGTATTATTTGGTTACTGAGCAGCAATAAATAACCCTTTAAGGTATAAAGAGTTTTCATGTGATTTTCTAAACTAGTAGTGTTCTGAAATTAACAAATTAATTCTTTTTCCATATCCAATAAACGTACAACCAAAACCTATAATCGTTGCATCGCTGGTAAGTGACCCCTTATATTATACTCAAACATCAAACTACATAAATATAGCCGTTTTATTTCCCCAAAATAGTGTTTTACAACAAAAGCATTTTTACTGCCTATTTGTCAGTACTACCCATTTACCACACACTATTACACATGCATGTTTGTGTTTGTTTGCTTTGGAAAACACAGAGTGAATCTGAGTAAATGAAAAAGGGAAGAGGTTTATGACCTGGCAATGAAGTGTGTTATGTATTGGAAAGACATAATGTGTGTTTCCAGCAGGGTTTCTGGGTTTTGGACGTGACGCAAAGTTTAATTGGTGTGGCTTGGGATCTTGTCTTAATGCAGTGCTGTGACTCAGAGCTTCCAGAAGCGTTAGAGCTACCAAGCTCAGATTTTTTTCTTCCCCAAGGTTGTATTTTCTCTGCAATTCCTGCATTCTTCAGCCTCTCCAAGCTCCTCAACAAATGATCCATCATTCTCTATGCGTATTTTCTTTCACATCTCAGTGAGAGCGAGTCAGATAAACATTTACCAGACTTATTCTCACACTTTACAGTGGTGGAGTGCAAGTATTGACGGGATTGTGAAATGTGTCTTTGTTTCTGTGGGAGGAATTGTCAATAGACACGACTGTGATGCAAATTAAGACAAATTTATTTTTGTTTTATGTAAAACTGCAGTTGTAAGGAAACTCATACATCTGTATCACAACAAGGACCTACATGCGAGTTATTTGACCTGGCTTAACTCTCAACACTTTAAAGCACAAGAGCTGCAGAGCGTGAAATAATAAATCAGTGGAGCTCACATGAAGACTGTTCAAACTCCAGCAGTCACTGTGATGAAAGAAGTGACGTCACCTTCCCCCGGGCAATTGCAAAACTTCATTTGATTGGCAAATTCTATGTTCAGAGTCAGACTTAACCTATTATTAGGCTGTTTCAGACTAGATGTGTCTGTTGGGTAGTTATCTAATCCTGACTAATGTGTCTGGTATGTAAGAATCAGAAAACCCCTTTTATCAAAAACACCACTCATATACTATATATATATATATATATATATATATATATATATATATATATATATATATATATATATATATCCCTAACATTTAACCGTAATAATATTTTACTGGCATTTTAAAGGCTTAACTAGGTTAACTAGGCAGGTTAGGGTAATTAGGCAAGTTATTGTATAACGATGGTTTGTTCTGTAGACTATCCAAAAAAATTAAGCTTAAAGAGGCTAATAATTTTGACCCTAAAATGGTTTTAAAATTTTTTTAAACTGCTTTAATTCTAGCCAAAATAAAACAAATAAGACTTTCTTCAGAAGAAAAAAAATAACATTATCAGACATACCTTAAAAATTCATGGGTTTTAATAAAGAAAATTTGTTGTATCTTTTTGCAATAAAAAATGTTGAATAAATACACCAAATAGGCCCGTATTTATAAAGTATATTGAACTATAAAAATGCTGTTTGGAACAAGGACCAGCAAAATATGAGGGACCAGCCTTCAGCAATATATACATATATTTTTTTATTTTTTTATTTCAAAGCTTCAACAATATGAAATCATTCAAATGTAAAAAATTATTTCATATTGGTTAAGGCTGGTCATATCACATTTTTCAGGTCCTTACTAAAAAGTTTGCAATTCCCTTCTCGATTTTATACAAACATCTATTTATACCATTGACTTTTGAGCCTGCCTGAAATCAGATTTCTTGTCGTCTGCATCATGATTGATGAAGGTTGGTAGAGCTGTGCTGGCATTCACATGATGATGCAGAAAGGTCAAAAACTTGAACAAGATGATATGCTTAGTCTTGTGCAAGTGGAACAATTGATTTCAGTTACAGAGTTGCACAAAATATCACTCATCAGGCACATCATTCAGAGTTCAGCACTATATCTTGAAAGCAGTGTCTGACCTCAACTCATTTCATTAATGTTTCTCTCAGGTAACTTTATCTCTGAGTAGGCAGACAAAGAAAGTAGAGGGGGAGGGGTTAAATCACCTTTCACTCACGAGTTTGCTTCACCAAGCAGTGTACGTATCAAGATTGTGTTCACAGTTGAATGCATCACTGAGGCAGATAATTAAAAGTCTTGACTTACGTTTAAAAGCGTCAACAGCTTCAGCGAATTAGCCAGACTTCCCTCCCAAGTTGTACTTGAGTGTGTACAGAGCACCACCCCTTTAGGACGGGTTTTCAGCGTTTGTGCTGTTCTCACTGACCTCAGGACAGTAGTGGAGGAAAGAGAAGCGGTCGCGTGAGACGCACGAGCGGACGGAGAAACGCACGCGAGTTTACATGATGCCTTTGCTTTTCGGCGTGAAACACTAATTGGCTACAGACCTCCGCTAATGTTTTGAGGTACTCGCTTAATGGGACTTCCTGAAAGGTTTGTTTTGCTTCCTTTTACCATTCATCATTTTCTTTCCAGATAATTGTGTGGATTAGACTATAACACGCTGCAAGGACTGTGAAGTTACATCTGTTACGATAAACGACGTGCTCGTTCACATCGGTGTGTCACGTCATTTGTGTCACTTGATAATTAATTCGTGAAAATGTGGTTGTGTGTTAAAGTATTTTATGTCCTTAAATTTATTCAATATATTTTTTACATTTACAATGTATTATTACGATATTTTAATTAATATACTGGCGTACGTGACGTATATTCAACAACTGAGAAATATTTTTTTCCGGTTCTTTAGATTAATATTCCCAAACTTTCATGTTACGAGTTCAAGTTCAAACATCTGGATCTTACTGTAAATAATTGTTAAGTACTGCCTGTTTGATGAGCGTAATATTCATAAATGGTAATAGTACTGGTAAACATTAGGTGATGATATACTATTCAAAATAATGTTATTGGAATTATTTCATTAATGTGGTAAACATTTAGTAGGCATAATTATTGTACATTAAGTCTGTTATGATGCTAGTCAGCTTTATTTAATGGATGCAGGCAGACAAAATATGCTGGGTTAATTATTGCAAATTAAGTCTTGAGGTTATAATGCCAGTCAGCTTTATTTAATATTTGCAGGCAAACAAAATATGTTGGGTTGTTTCAATCCAAGCAGGGGTAAAATCCAGACATTAGACAAACAGAACCACTGGGTTAAAATTTTACATTACATTTTTATCCTAAGAGTTTGGGGTTGTTTTTAGAGTGTAGTAAACTATTAATGAGAGACTGGCCATTCGAATCATAAGATTCTATTTTATAACATGTAATAATAATATGTCTGTTATAAAGACCATTTTAATGCAGGGATGTCATTGGCCCATAAACATTTCCTGCTTGTTATCAAACTATTTCATAGCTATAACAAGAGGCAATTTAATCATACCGTTTGTGGACCGTTTTGTATTCTTGGAAGCTATATGGAAATAAAAAATGTAAAACAGAAAATACATAAGGACCATTGTTATTGTTTATATCCATCAAAATGGTCTATAGGGTAGTTACACTTAAACTTTGACAGTAAGCAAAATTGCACAACTTTTTTTTTTTTCTTTATTAATAAGCAGTTACTGCTAATATCCTTGCTACGACTGTAACTTTTTCTCCCTTCTAATTTAAACGTATCATAAATGTTTCATTGTACCCGAAGATTGTTTCCTTGTGGTGCCGATTTAATCCAATAATTTGAGCAAGGAGCTGTTCATAAAGTAACATGCACATTTGATTATGTGATCAAAGGGTTCTTATTTTGAATTCAAGACTGACTTTAGAAGAGAGAGTTTATAAGATGAAGCAGCTGTGTTTGTGGATTCATTTGTGGGGCAGAAGGGCAGGAAAAGACTTGCAATAAACTACAACTGTAAACTCCTTTTATGAAAGTCTTGGAAACGCTTTTATGAACCTACACAAATGTATTCTGCATGGATGTAGATGAAACAGAATTGTAAGTCAGTCACCTTGGGTGCCAAGCTTAGATGCGTACATCTTTATTCTTTTGAAAGTGTATTTATTTAGCCCTAGGAGAACAGCTGTGTAGACTAAACACTTACGAGTGTGTGTGTGCGCACACACACGTGTGTCTGTTTATATTTCTGTTTCATGACTGCTGAGTGTTTCTCTGGACGTGTTATGCCTATGGAAGAGTGTTGACTGACTCAAGGTTTTATTTTCCTGCACATTGTGTCCATCTGTTGTTATGAAATCAGTGCATCCCGCTGCTCAAGCTGTATTTGTCCATTTTGTGACACATTAAAGGGAAGTCCAGAGAAGACAATTTCTGTCAGTGCACCAAACCCTATAATGTGTGGGACAGCTTTAGGAGACTAAATGTCAAAGGTTTGGCATGTTAATAACAGAAGACGTTCAGAGAACTCTTCACCTTTGCAGTTTGGAGTTTCATCGGTGCGAAAATTCCAGGGCAAACAAACAAAATGTAACCTACTACTGAACCATTGCAGGGTTCAATGAAACATCACCGTTAGTCAAGGCTGTGGATTAAAGGCAATAATGTTGCAAATAATGTTCAGATTTCTGCCCAGACTGATTGTTTTACTTCATAAGACCTTTATTTATCCCTAGGAGTCAAGGATATTAATATTTCTTGCATATATATGCATGGGTTTGTTTTTACGCTCAAAGTTAGTCAGTGGTAGTAGACATTGACTTGCATTTTATGGATCACAAAGGACCACAGTTTCTGCTAAAAATCTTTAAGTAAAAATCTTAAAATGTAGTTGGATGAACTGTTTTGATAAGTAAAAGTATTGGAAAAACATGTAGGTTTCTGCTTTGAAATCTGAAGTAAATGTATTTATTTATTTAGTTCACACATTCATTCATTTATTCATTTTCTTTTCGGCTTATTCCTTTTATTAATCTGGGGTCGCCACAACGGAATGAACCGTCAACATATCCAGCATATGTTTTACGCAGCAGATGCCCTTCCAGCTGCAACTCATCTCTGGGAAACATCCATACACACTCATACACGGACAATTTAGCCTACCCAGTTCACCTGAACTGCATGTCTTTGGACTGTGGTGGACCCCGGAGCACCCAGAGGAAACCAGCGCGAACGCGGGGAGAAAAGCGACCTTCTTGCTGTAAGGCGACAGCACTACCTACTGCGCCACTGCGTTGCTTTTATTTATTTATTTATTTATTTCTCATTCAAAATGTTTTGATGAAACTGTTTTCTCTTAAGCTCTCACACAAGTTTCGTCTCCATCTATATCCTTGCTTCCAGCAAACAGAGCATTGAAGCAAATATTTTGGGGTTTCAGTGTGGAGGAAAAAGGTCCTACATATTTTCCATGAGCTGTTATTCCGCTTTCTATGACTTTTTTCCGGGCTTGCATCCATCTGCCGTTCTGTGGTCTCTGATTTCAGATTAGTGGAGAGAGCAGACCCAGACCCTCTGGACATAGTAATCTACATAGAAACAATAAGAGAATGATGTCTAAGACAGTTTTTTATAGCGAAACATGCCTTTCCTATCCTGTTGCTGAGTGACAATTAGCATAATTGAATTGTATGACTGAAAGATTCATTAAAGGGTATAATGTTTTGAAGATTTCACATTTTAGCTTCATCTCTGTCTTCTAGCTTTCCCTCAAAATGTTATTTATACCACATTGCCATGATAGAATCACACAGTTGCTGCAGATTTGTTGGCTCCACATCCTTTCCTCCACATCCCAAAGATGCTCTTTTGCATTGAGATCTGGTGACCGTGGAGGTCATTTGAGTTTAGTGAATGCACTGTAATGTTGAAGAAACCATTTTGAGATTATTTGAGCTTTGTGACATGGTGCATCATAGTGTATGAACTTATCTTCTGTTATCTTCTTGTTTTTTGGGTTTCAATGGACTGTGGACTTGAGTGACATGAATACTAATCTAACCTTTCTTCAATTGATTTGTGTGTTTATTTCTCTTTCTATCTCTCTCCAGGTTACACACTCTGTCTAGGTAAATCTTATATCTTTCGCTTTAACCATCCCGAGGAAGCCAACCGTATGAAAAGCATGCTACCTCAGAAGAGTCCTGTCTCTCCGCTGGTGTACAGCACAGGTAAACTCTCTCTTTCTACTGACATATTGTTCTATCATTAGTAACCTCTCTATATTTTGCACCCAAACTTCACCAGGAACTGAAACTAACCACTGATTAATATGAATGGTTTATGAGCACTGCATAGGAATAATATTTTTATACGCTAAAAAAACGCCTATTATATGGCACTAACCCACCCCATCACTAAACCCAACCCTCACAGCAAAGCTGTGGAAAATTTCGAATGTCAAAAGGACTTAAGTATGTTTTTAAGCATTTTAAATTATGAGGACATAAGACATGTCCTCATAAACCACCTTCGATGTTGTAAAACTTATGTCATACCTATGTTATCATAAAATTTCTGTTTTTGTAAACCACCAAAACCAGTACAAACACACACACACAGCGCCTGATCCCATATCACAACATACCAGAACATCATTTAAGGGGGATCTTTTCTCTCTCCCTCTGTCTTTGTCTCTCTCTCTCTCTCTGTATGTGTGTGTGATACAAGGTTTTAGTTACCTCTTCTTTAACTGTGTGCAATTTGATCTAAACCTCTGATGTAGCAAAATTCTTTAACACTTTAAAATAATGGTCCATCAGTTAATGTATTTACTTACATGAACAAAGAATGAGTAATACATTTACTATGGAATGTTTTAATCTCTTTTACAACAGTTAACATTATTTAAGTTAAAAATAACATTGATTAATTGTTTGTTTATATTAACACACAGTGGATAAACTAATGTTAACAAGCACCAGATTGGATTGGAACTATAATTAATAAAAACTACACAAGATTATTCATAATTAGTAAATGTTAGTAAATACATTAACTAATGCACCATTATTCTAAAATGTTACCCAGAATTCTTTTAAGAGTGCAAAACATTTATTTTACAGACAATGCAATCTAACACAGCTGAATTAATACTCTGAGCAATCTCTGCTTCATTTTCTGTACATGAAGATGCAGATAAATTACCTCAAGCTGCAGTAAGGATCTTTAGTGTAGGATTCTGTGTTCATGAATTCATTTCTTTTTCCACATTTTTTTATGTTACAGCCTAATTCCAAAATGAATTAAATTAATTTATTTCCTCAAAATTCTACACACAATACCCCATAATGAAAATTAACTTTTTTAATTTTTGCAAATTTATTAATAAAAAAACAGAAAAATCACATGTACAGTAGTATTCACAGCCTTTGCAGTAAAGCTCTAAATTGAGCTCAGGTACACTCTGTTTCCACTGAACATTCTTGAGATGTTTCAGAAGCATAATTCAGCTGTGGTAAATTCAGTTGATTGGACATGATTTGAAAAGGCATACACCTGTCTATATAAGGTCCCAGGGTTGACAGTGCATGTCAAAGCACAAACCAAGCATGAAGACAAAGGGATTGTCTGTACACATCCAAGACAGGATTGCCTCACGGTTTGGGAAGGTTAAAGAAAAATTTCTGCTCCTCTTATAGTTCCAGTGAGCAACAGTGGCCTCTATCATCCTTAAGTGGAAGATGGTTGGAACCACAAGGACTCTTCCTTGAGCTGGCCGGCCATCTAAGCTAAGTGATCGGGGGAGAAGGGCCTTAGTCAGGGATTTGATCAATCTTTGAAACTCTGAACTTCAGAGTTCTTCTGTGGAGAGAGGAGAATCTTACAGAAGGACAACCATCTGTACAGCAATCAATCAATCAGACCTTTATGCTAGAGTGGCCAGACAGAAGCCACTCCTCGCCTGGAATTTGCCAAAAGGCATCTGAAGGACTCTCAGACCATAAGAAACAAAATTCTCTGGTCTGATGACTAAAAATGAACTCTTTGGAGTGAATGCCAGGCGTTATGTTTGGAGAAAACCAGGCCCCACTCATCACCAGGCTAATACCTTCCCTACAGTGAAGGATGGTGGTAGCAGCATCATGCTGTGGGGATGTTTTCAGCAGCAGGAACTGGAAAACTAGTCAGGATAGAGGGAAAGATGAATGCAGCAATGTACAGAGACATTCTGAATGAAAACCTGCTTCAGAGTGCTCTTGAACTCAGACTGGGGCGACGGTTCATCCTCTAGCAGGACAATGACCCAAAGCACACTGCCAAAATAGCTATGGAGTGGCTTCACAACAACTCTGTGAATGTCCTTAAATGGCCCAGCCAGAGCCCAGACCTAAATCCTATTGAACATCTTTGGAGAGATCTGAAAATGGCTGTACAGAGCTTGAGTGGTACTGCAAAGAGGAATGGGCAAAATTCGCAAAGACAGGTGTGCCAAGCTGTAAATACTTATGTGATTTTTCAGGTTTTTTATTTTTAATAAATTTGCAAAAATTAAAAAAAAAATTTTTTTACATTGTCATTATGGGGTATTGTGTGTAGAATTGAGGAAATAAATTAATTTAATCCATTTTGGAAAAAGGCTGTAACATAGAAAATGTGGAAAAATACTTTCCGGATGCACTGTAGTTAAAATTGTATTTTTATCCTTTTTTTATTTTAATAAATGAAAAAGAGAAACACAAAAAGTTCTAACATATATTTTATAATGAATGAAGTTTAGTATTTAAACACTTTTTAATTATTATTTATTTATTTATTTACCATAAAAAAGATTTCTGATTATATATATACATACATACATTCATACACATACACACACACACACACACACACACACTTTTTTTTAGTTCACTATAGTAGCCCTGACCCTAGCATATCTAAGCAAACCTACACAGAGACACAGGGAGCCAGTCTGTCTGGCGGAATGTGTAATCTGTACACAGATGTGGTTTGGATTCTCCCTGTTGATTCTGTTGATTGATTGAACATTTTGAGGTGTAGAAAGTGACATAAATTATTACCCTCTCCTCTCAGTCATTCTTTCACTCTCACACTGTTGCTAGACAGCAGGAATGAATCTGCACATAAACAAACATGCACCCACTCACTCAAAGTGCATCAACCTGGGAAAAGCACACACTATGGACTTCACTATAGGTACACTTTAACCCCTGTGTTGCTGTCTGTTTGGTTTATGGGGTGATGGCCTCATCAGGGTGGTATAAACACCATGCATCAGTTTCTACCTGTTTCCATAAAAAGTGAAGCTTGCTGCGAAACGATTTGCCAGAACCTCTCCATGTATGGTAAAAGTTTGTGTGATCTTGCATGCCTTTCCTCCAACTGTGTCATTGTTATGATATATCTTTTATTTTTTCTGCTCTATTTCCTTCGTTAACTTCACATGAGAGATTCCTCCATGATTTAAGTTCAATCTAATGTACGCACACATGCACCTTAAAGAGATAAAGGGATTTTTCTTGGCATCTGCAGGTTTGTGTGTTTTATGAGCATTCATGTCAGTCATCTGAAGGGGGATTTCTTTGATCTTTACTGTCTTGGCACGTGCTGGAGTAAAGCTCACCTCTCGTCCAGAAAGCAGATGAGAAAAGTGTGTCTGTGAAGGAGGGAGACAGAATTAGGAAACTTATAGGCCAACATTGTCATTTTTTGTTCAAACCTTTCCTAACCTGTGCTGGATCGTCTATAGTTATTTTAAAAGTACAATATTTAACAATTGAAGTGTTTTTTTTTTGTGTGTGAGTTTTGCATTTCTGGCTCATCTCATTTATGTTGAGTAGACTTTGGATAATTTCAGTTTCTGTTAACGGAAAACTTTGGACTTTGTTCAGACGCTGTTTTTATAAAATGTCTTAACTGTCTAACTTTAGGTTAGTTTAAACTGTGGAGCAACGTGGAATAGGACTGCAGTACAGACCAGCTTAATTTATTGATCTCTGAGGAAAAACCAAAGATCTTTTTGTTCCAGGTGGTTGCAGGCCAAATAAGCCTCAGGTACAGCAGCTCCTCGTACTCCTGCAAACAATTAAAGCAATTCCAGGAGTTAACAAGGGCCAAGCAGACAGTTATATAACTTCTCGTAACCACTTTCTCATGCTAGCAATAGTATGACCTTTTTAAAATCAAAGCTGGTAGTAATAATCTCCTCTAAAGACCCTTTCTTGTTTTTATTTTTAGATTACCTGAAGTTCAGCAGCGACTTCAGCCACTGCCTGGGTGGCTCTGGATCCAGAGGGATGCGCTCGGTCTCTGAGCTGCGGGATTTGATGGACACTTTACAAAAAAAGAAGCAGGCTTTGGAAAACAGTTTGCGAGCCAATGGAGACTCAAGCCCCTCCTACTTCAGTATGACACAGTCTCCGCCTACCACGCCCAATTTGCTGTCACCCATGACATCTTCTTCCCCAAACTCCTATCAGGAACAAGCTCGCCGACTGTACAGTTCAGAACGTCCACCGCTTTCCACCAAAGTGCTGCCTTCAACCACCAGCATGCCTCCATCTCCACGCCGTTCTGACCCTCGAGAGCGGGACACATCACTTCCTTATTCTCGACCCATGACCCGGAATCAATCTCAGGATAGTCTGCTCCTCAATTCGTCAGATAGTCGACGTACTGCTACTTCAGGCTCAGCACTCTCAATGTGGAATGGCTCGTCCACCGGTGCGACTGATCCCCTTCCTCCAGCACCAGGGGGTGGCAGTGGAGCAGCTAGCATGCCTTCCAGTCCCCGTCTGGCCCGTCGATTCCACACTCCAGAGTCTGGGCGTAACGGAGGACTCGAGCCTGTTCCACGTCAGCGAAAGTACTCCGCTGGGTCACTAACAGGCATGAGCTCACATAGTCGCTCCCTTCCACGTCTCTATCGACCTGCAGACTCCCAACTCACCCTCCTGCCAATCTATCGCTCTCCCGATGGACATATTTCTCACATAAGTGGTATTTCTGATCCCAACCACCAGAATGGTCATTCTGAAGTCATCTCCATCTCACTGTCCAATAGACCTGGTACCAAACAACCCGTAGCCCCACCGGATGTCACCATGACCTCTGGAGAAGCCACCAGCCCCCGCCAGGCCAAGAAGGTGAGCTTGACATCCACCAGTTCTTACTCAGAAGTGGACAGACAAGCTATGTGTGGTCCCTCGCCAGCTCTAGAGATTGGTCTCGGGGAGAGGAGACAGTCATTTGGAAAGGCTGGACTTGGTCCGCCAACTGGATTCAGGGAGCGAAAAGGCAGCATCAGCTCTCTCAGTGGAAAAGAAGAGCTTCAGGACTACCATCAGAGACAAAGGGATGAAAGACTGAGAGAACAAGAGGTGGAGAGACTGGTAAGAGGCTTTTCTTTGTATGTACGGTATTACTTTAAAGACTCAAAGTCTGAAATGGTCATTCTCAAAATGCATGCCGTTCTTACTGTTACCAATTCATCCATGCATTTGCTTCATTTTTAAACTTCTTTTTGGTGTCGTATGCAGTGCAGTCAATTTATTATAAGATGGTCAATAGTTTTTGTTTCTATAACTATTAATTCAGCTTTCCCCCCTTTTGTGTCTGTGTACTATAGGGAAAGAGAACAATTTTAGGCCCCGTTTACACTAATATGTTTTAGCTATGGTTATGCGTTCGTCCACACTACCCGCTGGAGTTTTCCAGCCCTGAAACTTTTTGAAAGTTTTTTTTTTCTTCACATTTTTTTGAAAATGCTGAAAAGGCCGTTTTGGATTTAAAATGCTTCTGCTCCATGTTAGTGTGGATGGCTTAAAAACAAAGACGTCTGAAAACAGAGACATGGCTGCAGACCACCGGTGATCTGCTGGGGCTTTTCCTCAATATTAAGTGCACAAAGTTCAGCCTTACACCCTTTCCTTGTAAGTTCAGACTTCCCAAGTTTGATATGGAAAAAAAACTACCGTGAACATGTCAGGTTAAAACAGTGTAATTTATAACGTCATTCGCATCATACATTGTTCCACTATCTTAACAATAAAATGAAAACATGATATAAGGAACTGCATATTTTCATTCTGATATTAACTTAAAAGACAATAAAAATGTTGAGGCGTCGTGTAGCTACATATTTAAATGACCGTCATCTTTACTGTTTGCATATTTAAAACAAAACAACCTATAAAATAACTGCCTCCTTTAATTTTCGTAAGGCGCATACCTTCTCTTTTGCTGAATATTAGTTTTAATAATCAATAATGGCCATTATAAAAGTATAACGTACAATAGTTTTATACAATATAAGAAATAAAGGCAAGCAAATTAGTATAATGAGCAGAATCTGTGTACGTAGTTACATAAATGAATATATTAACTTATCTTTGTGCTTAGCCAAAACACGTTACCTGAGAACAAGTAATAGTAATTAGAGTAATTAGATAGAAACTAGATGAATTAAATATTACTGTAATAAAGTTCACGGCTCTTTGGCCGCCGGGAAGAAGGAGGCGGAGAACCGACGCAGTTTTTAAATAATTTATTAATAACAGTGAAGGCAGCTCCTCACGGAGGCTGCCGTCTAAACCAAAACAAACGGACGGCAGCTCCTCACGGAGACTGCCGTCAAACTGAAAGCAAAAGTAAAATGCCCAGGCCCGGTCCTCCCTCGGCTTCCTCTGCCATCGTTCCTCCCTTTATAGTCCAGAGCTCCTTCCGTGGGATTCGAGGCAGGTGCGCACCGCAGGTGTATCCACTTACGCGGCGGCCTCACTCCGTTCCCACGGCTCTCAGCCACGCCCCCTCGCCACAATTACGTTTAACAACTATAGTGTGATGAAATCCAGCGGAAGATCCTTGAATTGTCCGATCTGTGCTGCTCTTACAGTATCTGAGGAGGTACTCGCAGAGCACCCGCTGACTGCCTAGATCTCAGACATGCGGATACTCTGTAGCGCATGCCAGAGTGTGTGTGTGGTCACGTGATGTGCGTTTTCAGCAGTATAGTGTGGACGGAGAGCTGTTCAGAAAAGCTAGGTGAAACACCAGTTTGCACATGGATCTTTTTCATTCTAAAATGCCATTTTAAAACTAAAATGTATTAGTGTAAACGGGGCTAAGAATACCTTTTTTAGGTGGTATTAATCCCCATTTCAAAGAAGGGTCTAACCCAGCACAGAAGGAAGTACTAGTGACTATATGAAACTACTGACTATATGAAACACCACCACAGTGATTTAAACATCTGTGATATGTAACATTGAAAGTTGTCTTCAAACGATTAATCTCTTGTGATTCCATAACATTTCATCTCTGTTATCGTGAATCTCAGGAACAAATACATAGCTTCAGTTATTATGTCCTCATTCATTCATTTTCTTGTCGGCTTAGTCCCTTTATTAATCCGGGTTCGCCACGGCAGAATGAACCGCCAACCTATCCAGCAAGTTTTTATGCAGAGGATGCCCTTCCAACCGCAACCCATCTCTGGGAAACATCCACACACACTCATTCACAGACACACACTCATACACTACAGACAATTTAGCCTACCCAATTCACCTGTACCGCATGTCTTTGGACTGTGGGGAAACTGGGGCACCCGGAGGAAACCCCAAGCGAATGCAGGGAGAACATGCAAACTCCACACAGAAACGCCAACTGAGCCAAGGCTCGAACCAGTGACCTTCTTGCTGTGAGGTGAACTTGCTACCCACTGCACCACTGCGTCGGGACGTTATTATGTCTTTCATCATCTAATTGTTAATGAATACATGCACTCAAATGATGTTGCTGTCAGTCAGATTAAGTCACTTTAGAGTTCATACTCTATTACCGCTGTGATTGCAATCAGGAAAAGGGCCAAGGGGAAAATTTTATGTTCTAGGATCTTTCCTAGTGGCTAGGTCCTACAACATGTGTACAACTTTAAAGCCTTTTTTTTTTTGCCTCCAAAAGTCTTCTTTTTTTTTTTGAAAATGTCACCAAGGCATATTTCATAAACATTAACAAGTAGCCAAAAAACACAGTGGAATGAACCACCAACTTATCCAGCATATGTTTTACACAGTGGATGCTCTTCCAGCTGCTACCAACCACTGGGAAACATCCATACATACGCATTCACACACATACACAACGGACAATTTAGCTTACCCAATTCACTTAAACCACATGTTTTTGGACTTGTGGACTTGCGCAAACACTGGGAGAACATTCAAACTTCACAAGAAATGCCAACTGACCCAACCGAGGCTCGACCAGCGACCTTCTTGCTGAGAAGCGATTGTGCTACGGTAGCTAACTATCAGTTTGCAGTAGGTATAATCAATTGTCATTTTGCACTATAAGTTCTGTCCCCATTGTTATAAAACAACCATCTTTCAAAATCGAATCAATTCCTGATGACCCAAATACCATTTTTAAAATCACAAATGTTAACACAAAATATGTATGTCATTATAAAACAATTCAAACATCTGCCGGCACAGTCATCTGCTTCATTTTTATTTATATTCTTTATAACCATATCGTTCTGATTAGACCCAAAATATAGAATCAATGACTTTGATGATTGATCTCATCTAGAATATTTAACATTCCTCCTCCATGACCATGTTTTCTTTTCTCATTGTGAAGGGGTATCGAGCTTAAAGCTGCTGATATTTCATCTCTTCTTGCAATATGTGGGAGCTCAGATATGAGGAAACCCCACCTGCAGCCTAATTAATCTTGCCGCCAAACTTGCGCTCTCACATTCCACTTGGCTATAACAAACAGACCACGTGCATGAAGGCCCCTATGGTGCTCTGTAGTGGATGCGGTGGAAGTCCCAAGCAGAGGTGTGGCTGCATAAACCTCCTATTAATAGACAGCTCGACAGCCCAGAACCACATCCACTTTCACTGAACCCGGCCTCCCGTACACTCTCTCTCTGGGAGGCCGCCCACAGCTGCAGATGATCCTGGCAAATTGCCCACACTAGCATGCTCCACTCTTGCTTCTCAGCTGCTCTCAGTGGGGTTCAAATGAAAGGCAACAGAGTATTTGTATGCTGTGGTTAAGGGAGGCCACCTGTGGCGCCGCCCTGCTGGGCAGAGGCCAAACCATCAGCCTAGGCCGCCCACTCATTAGCTATCACCACAACTACAGGCTGGTGATCTTTACAAGGCCAGCGTTGAGTGAAAACAAGGCCTCTGCAGGTGGAGATGTATATCCACACATGGGTTTCTTCGAAAAACAAACTCTCTCATAGGAATGTCATATTATAGACTTCATCTCTGGTCATATGTCTAAAAACACACACTCATTCATGATGGCATGCACTTGCATAGCATGTGCTGTTGTGTTTTTTTATTTTTTTGAAAGACCACACATTTTATTCATGATACCCAATGCTTTCACCCTTGAATGTGAAAGTTCTGGCTTAACATGGCCAGATTTGGACATTATGGCCTAACTTTTCAACCGTGATACAAAGTGGAGATGTGTTGCTCATATTTCTTACAGTCCATGGGTCTTATACACCTGGGTCAATAAGTCAATAAGGTGTTTGGTGCAAATTTCAGACCAGCACAACCCTAATTTTCACGTTTTCTGCCACGTTGTTTTAATAGCAATTCTATTTGCACTGCTTTGTGGACTCATGTGAATTCCGCTCTATTGACCTTATTCTAAAATGCGGAAGTGCGCCTGTTTTCGCGATTGTCTTAGAACTTCTGATTCAGTCGCCAATGGGAGAAATTACTAGGAATAATAAACGGCAGAAAACGGTCAAACTACTTGCTCTACAAACAAATGTTTGCATGACTATACAGACCACGTAGAATAATATGATAAGAAAATATCAAATTGCAACATCAAGCAGCGTAATGAGCAGTTTTTAACGTCAAAAAATGAATGGAAGTGAATGAGACCGGAAATCTCAAGCCAAAAAGATTCAAATGGCAGCGCCCGCTCGTCGGTGGAGAATAAGGTGAATAAAGGAGGTGTGTTAAGGCGCATTGTTGCCACGTTGCTATTTTAAGGAACTAACATAAACTGCGCCACTGACCACCTGAAAGCTGGTCTAAAGTCTAGAGCAGAGCGTGTTATTTATGCACCTATGCAGGTCCAAAATGCTTACACATTGCTTTATAAACACAGGATGTATAGCAATACACAAATATCTTAAAAAAGGTTAAAAATGTAACAAAATTATTATTTTCTACATGAATATAAAAACAACTACCTCCATGCCTTTATCTAGGGAGACTTTTTCAGTTTATTTATGACAGTTTGCATTTGTATAATGTTATTACTATTAGCAGTATTTTTTATTATAATCATATTTATATTTAATTTAATAAAAACAAGTTTAGATTTGTCCATCTGTTGGGTTTTGGAGATGTATGCATCACCATATGGGGCATGAGAATAGGACGTGTGTTTGACCACACTTTGTTATTTTTGTTCATTTATTTGTTTGCTGAAAATTAGAACTAAATTTAGAAATAGTTTGGAAAAAATCTTTGAGCTTAACAAACAAAATTAAATATTTAGGCTAATGATTGTCTAAAGTGTAGATTGCATACAACACCGTTTCCTTATCCACTGAAGTAAAGGAGTAAAGCAAAGAGTAAATGTAAAGAGAAAGTAAAGAGGCCGAATGGAGGAGGCTCATTCTTTATCCTCGCATCGTAGATGGTTTGTTTAACTGTTTTCTCGCGGACTCTGGGACTCTGATTGGTTTAATGCACGTTATGCTGATAACACACCCATAACTCTATAAGAAAATAAGCACAACCCTATTAGACTACGAGCCGGGGCGCAAAGCGTATTTTTCCAATCTTAAAATAGCAAAAGTGAATTCAGACACACCATTAATGATTTTGCGCCATTCGCTTTAGACTTTGTGCCTAGATTGTTTAAGTAGAGCCCAATGATCGAACTGAAAAAAAAAGTTGTTTGAACCCAGCATGACAACAGCAAGGCAGGGCCTAAAACTGGATCAGTCCACATTCTGGATATGTTTGCTCTATGCTTGAATTAAAATCCATTTTAGGTCCAAGCTTTTTAAAGCATGCCAACAGACCTTGAATTGATACAGTGTTTATGTAAATTGTTTAGGGTTATTAGCATTGCCCTTTATATCCATGGGGGATTCATTAAGGTTTCACCCTGCACTCATGCACATGGACTGATAGCGTGTCATTAATATAAGCGGAAGGATTGAATCACGCTTCTCCTATTTGCATATCCTTTCCCGTCCAGTGCCAGCAGTGTTTTGATTGGGTCCGGTTTACTCTCTCCAAAGCTCTTTCTCTCTCTCTCTCTTTCCCATTCGCTCTCCCATCCTACCGACTCATCAGAGGGTTTGTGCTTCTAACACCAGCTTGGAGTGGAGCAGAAGTTGTTGAGCTCATGTCTCTTATAATTTGTACTTGTGGAATGTAACTGAACTTGGCATCTTTTTAATGAGGGCATGAACTCCTCTTCTGAGGTGGAGGTCACTATGTGCCCTCTGACCCCTGACATGGTGAGTAGGGCTCTTTGATTGGGAGAGCCATGCAAATGTGTTTCATTTTACAAGGAAATATCTTCTATATGGATTTATTGGCTGTTAATATGCCTGTGATGCAGGTTGGGTTGTTGATTCATGGCTATGTGAATCTGTGAGATCATTTTTCTTGGCTCTGGAAATGGGTGGCTTTGCATATCAGTCGATTAAATACAGGTTGGGGTTTTTTTTTCAAGCCAAGTGCACTCCTTCATGAACCACGGTTGTTTTTGGATGTATATGCTTGGTCGTATCCATCTGGTCTCTCTCTGATCGCAGTTTGTGGCTGTAAAAATAGCTTTTTCAGATGTTTGAAATTTGGATTTTCCTATATATAGCAGTAATATTCTTCTATATGCTGCCCATGGGCTATTAGTATGAACTGTTTGTTATTGAGACAAAATCTCATGCAGAAATGTTCAGAACTGCTGAAGGTAAATGTGTCTGCATCTCGAAGGTGAGAAATGTTTCCAAATGCATCATCCTCTCCAGCTGCATCTTTTAATATAGAGTTTATCCATATGCATTTTATCAAACTGTTTATTTCTCTTCATGTGATCCAAAGGAACGTCAGCGTTTGGAGACTATCCTGAATCTGTGTTCCGGTTTGGGACGTGCAGAGCAGGACAATACTGGTTTGGCCGTAGCAGACTTGCAGAAAATCAACAAGGAGCTGGAGAAATTGCAGGTGTCAGATGATGACTCCACATTCTCAGACTCTGCTAGTCTCTCTGCCAGCATTTCTGCCGAAAATGACTATGGGATTAAATTCCGGGAGCCCCAGGCAAGAGAGGAGAGACAGGTACGACAGCGCAAGAACAGTGGACACAGAGACGCCAGGTCGGAGACAATAGCAGTCCGTGGATCTGCTCCCACCCCTTCTCCTCGGCTGACACGGATAAACAAGGTAGTTGGTAAAGTCTTAAACCTATCAAGCTTCTTTTAAAAACACATGAATGAGAGGAATGGACTATACACATTTACTGAAAACTACATATGGCTCACAGTCATTGTGTTTGCATCAAAGCATTTAAACAGCAGAAATGAAATTATATTCTTTTTAAATGATTTATTTAATAATAAGATTAAAGAAGTACATTGCATTAGTGCATTAAAGTAAAAACTGCTGCTGTTTTTTTTATTAAAACCACATTTTCTGTATTTGGAATTTGTATACACTACCTGACAAAAGACTTGCTGTGGATCCCAGTTGTAAGAGCAACAACTAATAACAAGACTTCTAGTTGATCATTTGGAAAAGTGGCAGAAGGTGGATTTTTACAATGAATCATCTGTTGAACTGCATCTCAATCATCACAAATATAGCAGAAGACCTAATGGAATCTGCATGAACCCAAGATTCTCACAGAAGTCAGTCAAGTTTGGTGAAGGAAAAATCATGATTTAGGGTTACATTCAGTATGAGGGCATGTGAAAGATCTGCAGAGTGGATGGCAACATCAACACCCTGAGGTATCAAGACATTTGTGCTGCCAATTTATTACAAACCACAGGAGAGGGCAAATTCTTCAGCAGGATAGAGCTCCTACTTCAACCTCCACATCAAAGTTCCTGAAAGCAAAGAAGGGCAATGTGCTCCGAAATTGGCCAGCCCAGTCACCAAATATGAACATTTTTGAGCATGACTGGGGTAAGATGAAGGAGAAGGCATTGAAGATGAATCCAAAGAATCTTGATGAACTCTGGGAGTCTTGCAAGAACACTTTCTTTGCCATTCCAGGTGACTTTATTAATAAGCTATTTGAGGCATTGCAGAGATGTATGGATGCAGTCCTCCAAGCTCATGGGAGTCATATACAATATTCATTCTTTTTCCACTGCACCATGACTTTATATTATACCGTACATTATTTCTGTTAAGTGACAAGACTTTTGTCCAAGCAAAGTCAGACCTTATCGTCCTAATTAAATAATTAAAAATTAAGCATGATCATGTTTTATTTTGATCAAATAAGCGTAATCTAGAGGCCTTTGCCTTTCATTTAAGCCACCTATTATACCAAATGATCAATTAGAAGTCATGTTATTATTTGTGGTTCCTAAAACTGGGATAGGTGACAAGAATTTGTCAGGTAGTGTATTTGTGACCCTGAACCATGTTGTATTAGTATATTTGTGGAAATTTATAAGTTATTATTACACAAAATTATTCTTTTATGCCAAAAATCACTAGGATATTAACTAAAGACCATGTTCCACAATGATGTTTTCTACCAAAAACTCCTGCCAAAAATATATTAAAATGTAATTATTGATCAGTAATATGCATTGCTAAGAACTTAATTTGGACAACTATAAATAAGATTTTCTCAGTATGTTGATTTTTTGCATATACTGTGCCAAAAATATTATCCTATCCTTACAAATCATGCATCAGTGGAAAGCTTATTTATTCATTTCGCGTTCATTCATTCATTTTTGTTTAGGCTTAGTCCATTTATTAATCAGGGGTCGCAACATCGGAATGAACCGCCAACTTATCCAGAAGCCCTTCCAGCCGCAACCCATCACTGGGAAACATCCATTCACATTAATTCACACACATACACTACGGACAATTTAGCCTACCCAATTCACCTGTACCACATATCTTTGGACTTGTGGGGGAAACCGGAGCACCCGGAGGAAACCCACACGAACGCGGGGAGAACATGCAAACTCCACAACAGAAAAGCTAACTGACCCAGCTGAGGCTTGAACCAACAACCTTCTTGCTGTGAGGTGACAGCACTACCTACTGCGCCACCGTGTCGCCTTATTTAGCATTTATACTTTCTAAAAATTACCCTTTATGACTGGTTTTGTGATTTATATTTCATTTAATTTTATTATTTTATATTATATTAGCATCATATTAGATGTCTGCACTGATATAATCTGAGAGGGCCTGAAGTCACATGTTTACTAGATTTGACCTTCAGCTTTACTTTCCACTACAGCTTCATGCATGAACTCCTTTCGTCATGCAGCGTGTGTGTGTGTTTTAATCTGGTTAAGTAATTGAATCGTTTGTAAAGCCAGGTCGTTTCCTTGCTGCTAATTCCTGTGACCTTTCAGAGACGTTATAAGAGTTTCCCACCCTTCCCTGGCATTCGCACAACCTTGCACGCTCTTTAATCCACAAAGGAATGTGCCGGTGTCTTTCCTCAAACTCCTAATCTAATTACTGTTTTACGCAGGAGTTGCAGTCATGTGCAGGTTCTGTTTTATATCCATCTACTGATACATGCTGTATAACACACTATGGCTTTGAAAACCAAATGTGTATATGAACCCACACAGAAACAGCTGAAGGAGTTCAGAGATGTGCCATCCATAGTATAAACTGTGATGAGCTGATATAAACATCACTGTCCAAATATAGCAAGGTCATGAGCATTGTGTTTGTTTGATTTTTACCCCACACAATGAAGGACTCTATTTAGCCGTATATGTGCACATTAAAACCTGTCAATTTTAAGCTTTTTTTGGCTCACTTTTGCAGTTTGTGTCCATAGATTTCGATTACAATACATATTTTTATACAAGGCTGCTTTCTCAATAGTTTTTTTTTTCTTTTGCACTGAGCTATAAACCTCCACCATAACAGTACAAGTATTTGGGTACTGTTTTAGATAATAAATTTTCCTTTTCTGTTAAATAATAAAATTGTGTGTAAGAAGGGGCTGCAAAAATTGTACTGCTTACAGAAATAAGATCATTAAATATAGATAAATCACTCATGTGCATGTTTTACAGTTCATACATTCAGTCACTATTACAGAGTTCATACACATTTTTACTTCTAAAGTTCAATGACTTTTCCTGGACTTTCAAGTAAATTTTCATGACCTTATGTTTCATGTAATGTCTATGTATACATGTTAAATAATAAGAAAAATAATGCATGTTCGAAATTATTACAGCATATCATAAAATATGCAACATTTAGTTTAAATGAATCTTTATATCTATGTAAAATGTATTTAGATAATGCTAATAACACAACACTAATAACGTAAGAGGATGCGTTTGACCATGGAAAAAAAGAAGTAAAGACAACTAACCTGTAACTATAATGAGGTTATATTTTTATATATTTTATAAATACAAATATTTTATAATTATATTTTAGTCATACTAATTTCCATGACTTTTCCAAAACTTTTGGGGTTGAAAAATTCCATGTCTTTTCCAGGTTTTTCATGACCGTATGAACCCTGCTGTTATCTTTCCCTTGCTTTGTTGGTTTAATTGTTTAAGTGTGGCAAAATAGAGTTATTTGGAGACAATTGTGAACCTAGGAGGAAAAATAACAGGAAGAAAACAGATGACTATGGCTCAGTTATACCATAGACAAGTTTTGAGTAAAGCTCAGAGTATTTTGTCAGATGATTCTCATCCCACAAGTTTTTTCTTCTCCCTTCTGGTATTCGATACTGAACTTCTATTAGTAAAGCAAATCTGTTCAAACTTTCCTTTGTCCCCTCAGCTGTAAAGTTTTGAAATTTAGGGTAGATTTGTATTGTAAAATCTGTTTTTGTGTATTATGTGTGGCATGCTTGTATTCTGCAACCAAATTGCCGACTGACTGACTGACTGACTGATTGACTGACTGACTGACTGACTGACTGACTGACTGACTGACTGACTTCAGCAGCACTTGCATTCATATTTATATTCTGAGGGTTTTGCAAAAGGATTTGTCCGTGTGTAATTTGCCTGAATATACCAATTTACATTTATTTATTTAGCAGTTGCCTTTTATCAAAAGTAGCTTACGAATGTGGGCAATAGAAGCAAGTGAAATCAGCAGAGGAGCATTTGATAAATGATTTTATATTTCTAAAAATTTAGTTTTTTATTATTTATCGATTAAGCGATTCCCTCTGTGAAAACTTTTTATATTATAAATGTATGCAAATTAGCACATATTTCATTACTTAATGCCTCATTTGTATATTTAAAAATACTTGTAAGTACTGTATGATAATTAATAATTAGGTTTTTTAATGTAATAATAAGCAAAAATAAGCAGATTGCCTTACATGGATATTGAAATCCTAGATAAATAATTGGTGTAGGAAATCAAGTATGCATCTCCGCCCCATTGTTCCTCGAGGTTTCCATTGTAGCCAATGATGGTAGCTGGCGTTCATTGAAAATTCAGTGAAAGCTGTTTGTCAGAGCTCCAGATCAGTGCAGCTGCCAGAAGGGGGCAGGTCTATGCTATACATGGCTTGCATCAAAGGGCTTTACACTTGGTGCATTGACATCTAGCCCAGAATGCAGTTCTAAATGCAGCTTTAGAGGTCAAATTTTTAACCAGGACTGATAATAAGTTAAGTTTCGAAGGTTAAACTTTCACAAATATCGAGTGGAAATGTATTCAGGCCTGAATGAAGAAGAAATGCATAGAATAACTGTAACTACCTTTTAAAAAACAGCATCCAAACAAAAGTGTTGTGACTACTTTGAAATTGTCTAGTGATTTTTTTTCTTCATGCAAAACAAAGGTTTGTGTATCAGTTAGCCACACAACTGATTAAATTAGTTTTATTTACATACATGCTAATTTAATTATTATTAGAAGCATGTATTTATATAGATTTAATTTTCTTCATATTTTTTATTTGGTCATTTTTGTACTCTGACTTAAATTTGAATAATTATTTATTAAGTTTTCATACAAGGTTTACATTTTATTTCAGCTTTATTGTGGTCACTGAAGCATATTCTAATATATATAGTATTATTCTTTCTTTTTGGTTTAAAAATTACACCACCATTTGGGATTGAGCATAGTACTGCAGTGCTGAGTATAGCTGCATATTTGCTTACATTATCATGTGTTCAACAGACGACCGATGATGACACGCAGCTAAAGAACGACGTGAGACGTATAGAAGAGGAGAGGATCCAGGTCCTCAACAATATGGAAGAACTGGAGCTGAAGATCAAAGACCTGGACAACCAGATGGAGGAGTCCATCAGAGAGGTATACAGTAGAACAGTAGTGGGAGTAAAACAAAAAGAGTGTCTTTGTGGAGGAGTTGAGCATGTGCTAAAGTAATCAGGAGTCCTGATGAGGACCACAGTTAGACAAGGAAAACTGACCTGCCAAGACTTAATCCGTTTTACTTCAAGCCCCACTTTCTGTTTTTCCCTTTTAAATGACATGCCTCATTCCTCATTAGATTTCAGTATTTGCTCCTCCATCTATTTCTCCTCCATTGTAATTCACTTTCCAATTGTTCTTTTCTTTCCATCATGTTGTGGTGATGTTTGAACGCACGCTAGAATCAGTGTTTAAAGAAATAGTAAACTGTTTGAGTTGGTACTGAATTAGTGAACTATGACTATTAATAAAACAAAAAGTTCCATATAGTATGGGAATATGGGTAGTGTGAAAGTGGTCATACAGTGACCCCCTTTGAATTATCTTTCTTTTTTAAATATTTCACAAATGATGTTTTACAGAGCAAAGAAATTTTCACAGTATGTCTGATAATATTTTTGCTCTTGGAAAAAGTCTTATTTGTTTTATTTTGGCAAGAATAAAATCCGCTTTTTATTTTTATAAAAACTATTTCAAGATCAATATTATTAGCCCCTTTAAGCTATATGGTTTTTTGATAGTCTACAGAACAAACCATTGTTATATAATAACTTGCCTAATTACCCTAACCTGCCTAGTTAACCTATTTAACCTAGTTAAACCTTTAAATGTTGTAAAGAAGTATCTTGATAAATATCTAGTCAAATATTATTTACTGTCATCATGGCAAAGATAATATAAATCAGTGATTAGAAATTAATTATTGAAACTATTATGATGATAAATGTGTTGAAAAAAAATCTTCACTCTGTTTAACACAAATTGTCAAAAAAATAAACATGGGGGCTAATAATTCTGACTTCAACTGTATGTGTGATATGTGGTTACTGTCATGCAAGTTGCACTGCTTTTACTGGCACTTACCAGTCCTCGCATATGGCCTCAAAATATAACAGTCTGTCTATAAAATGTGTGATACAGAATCTTAATGAAGTAGTCAGTCTTTCTGAAACTTTTCATGTATTTATTTGAATACTAAATATTCACACATGCTGCTGTTTTAATTCCTGTTTTTTAACCATATTATCAGGAAGTATGCAGCAAATGTACTCTTGTATTCTTGTAAGTTAGCGGTGCAGAATTGTAGAATTTATTATTAAAAATGAAAGTCATATGTAAGCCAAGACTGAAAAAGATCTGATAAAGTATCTTTAGGAAAGAAAGTCATCAAAGAACGTGTATTTGGTGACCTCTTTTGGCAAACAGGCCCTAAATTAATTAGTTTAATAATTAAAAGCTTAAGTTCTGTACAAAAAATTGAATGGTGTCTTGAGACTCCCGCACTTCTTTTTTATAGTTTTTCCTGCTTACAGTAGGCTTGTCACAATAAACAGTATTTTAATGCGCAATACATGGACATGTAGAGTCAAGTCATCTTTATATCTATAGCACTTATAGACAATGTGAAGTGCCAAAGCACTGAAGAGCAAACAACTGGCTTGCTTAGTTGAGGTCGGTGGAGTTGCTCTTCAGAGGTAACAATGGCAAGGAACCATAACTCCACATGGAAATCAAAACTTCACATGGCCTTAATAATGTTTGGTGTTGCAATATATATCACATCTTGTTTATATGTCAGCAAAACTTTAGCTGGTTGCATCGCCTCTGTCACAGCATCTAATCTCTATTGCAGGTGTCAGCAAGATCTGGTTTAAAGCTGCAGTCCACTTCCATAAAATCGCAAATAATGTTAATGCCATTTCCTTTTTTATGATATAACAGGACAGAAAAAGATTGTGTCCCTTGAAAGTGTTTATGCCTATTATGTCATTATTATTCTGCTGTCATAATTATATATATAGTATAGAGCAGGGATGGGCAAACTTGATCCTCGAGGACCGGTGTCCCTGCAGAGTTTTGTTCCAACACTAGTCAAACACACCAGAACAAGCTAATCAATGTCTTCAAGATCACTAGAATCTATAAGCAGGAGTGTTTGATTAGAGTAGGAGCTAAACTGTGCAGGACACCGGCCCTCCAGGACCGAGTTTGCCCACCCCTGGTATAGCGTGTCAGAAAATGGTCAAAAAATGATCTCGCTATATCTCTGACAATATAATGCATGACTAAAATGATTTATTGTTGCAGGAATATTCTAGCTTTCAATCTGTTTTTGAATATAACACAAAGTCCTGAACGTGTTCTTTGCAGTTACAAATAGTTCAGATGACCCAAAGCTCAAGTGAAAGCTATAGCTAAAGTGGGCCTCAAAGTAGAAACTCCCGTCTCTTGATTAATGATTCGCAGGTAAGTTAGTCTTCTGCCAGTAGTTCCTGCGAGGTCAGCTGTTCCATTACTAGCACATTCAACAAACCCGCACTGTCAGTGATGAGTTCAAGTTTTATAAGGTTGAGGTTTCATTGGCTCAGAATGTGGGCCTCCTTTTTATATGTGTGAAATGAGGCACCATCTTGGTGGTCCAGAATGTAGTGGTATTACATCACTGTTTGCTGTGAAATCATTGATGTTGTTGCAGCATTAAAAATCAGTGACTTCAATGACTGATTTTTTTAATGATGATTGATGTTTTTTATATGTTTGAAATGTTAAAATTAAATATATATTTGTGTGTGTTTAGTTGGAAGTGGAGCGGGCTCTGCTGGAAGGCGAGCAGGATTCGGAGATGGCTCAGCTGCAGCAGGAAAAAGACACTCTGGAGCAGCTTAAAGAAAAGATGGCCGAAATCGAAAACAAAGCACAGACAGACAAATCTCAGGTATGTTGCCATGTATCTTCAGGGTTAGTTAGCAGTTATCTAAATGAAGCAATGCTACACTGTAAAAATATATGTGATATGATGAAAGATGATAAGTTAATCAAGTGTCAACTATGTTATGCAAAGCTTAACTTAATATGTTTAGTCAGTTTGATTGATATAAGTTGAGAGGACTTGAAATGTTAGTTTAATTCAACTGAAAAAATAAAGCTGCAAGAATATCCTGAACTCAAATGCACTCTGCTAAACATTTGGTGGTGATTAGGTACATTAGGTAGATTATTCAAACAAATAAATCGCTTTGTTGGTTTGTGGTCTGTAAGATTTATTTTGAAAGGTATTAATAATTTATTTAGAAAGGATGCTTTCAATTGATTGAAGTCAACGCAAGGATGGTTGCAAAACATTCATTACTCCAAATGAATGCTTTAAGCAAACTTTCTGTTCATCAATAAATGTGTCCGCAGAAATGTTAGTCATTTAATAATGTTTTAATATTTAGAAATGGTTCCTGAGCACCAGATCACCATATTCAAATTTGTTTCAGAAGGGTCATTCATTCATTTTCTTTTCGGCTTAATCCCTTAACCAATCCGGGGTCACCACAGCGGAATGAACCTTCAACTCATCCAGCACGTTTTGGGTTTTTTTTACGCAGCGGATGCCCTTCCAGCTGCAACCCATCACTGGGAAACATCCATTCACACTCATTCACACACATACACTATGGACAATTTAGCTTACATGCAAACTCCACGCAGAAATGCCAACTGAGCCAGCCGAGGCTCGAACCAGCGACATTCTTGCTTGGAGGTGACAGCACTATCTACTGCGCCACCTCGTCGCCCTCTGAAGGGTCATGTGACAGTAATATTGCTGAAATGTCACCTTTTAATCACAGGAAAAAAATATCATTTTAAAATAATAACGCGGAAAAGTTATTTTACATTTTAATAATATTTTATCATATTTACATCAAAGAAGTGCAACATTAATGTGCATAAGAAAATTTTAATATCTTGCTGATCCCAGACTTTTAAAAATGTGTGTACATTAGCAAATTAAATCTACAATTTATAGGAACAAGTCTCTGATTCTATTGGAGCCTTTGCAAAGCGTTTTGCAGTCATTATTGACTCTATTATAGAACTTAACATGTTTTAATGTGCATCCGGAAAATATTCGTATCGCTTCACTTTTTCGACATATATATATATATATATATATATAGTTGAAGTCAGAATTATTAGCCCCCCTGAATTATTAGTTTATTTTTTTCCTCAATTTCTGTTTAACGGAGAAAAGATTTATTTAACAGGTTTATAATCATAATAGTTTTAATAACTCATTTCTAATAACTGATTTATTTTATCTTTGCCATGATGACAATAAATATTATTTTACTAGATATTTTTCAAGACACTTCTTTACAGCTTAAAGTCACATTTAAAGACTTAACTAGGCTAATTAGGTTAACTAGTTTAGGGTAATTAGGCAAGTTATTGTATAATAAAGGTTTGTTCTGTGGACTATCAAATTTTTACATAATATTTCCTTAATTTCACCACACACACACCAAGACTTGTACTTTCTGGCAGCCTCTCAATCTGTGTCATGGCTGGTAATCCTGCTCCTGCTCTAAATACACCTCTGCTAAAGCGAGTGACACCACACACTGTGTTAATGCAAGGCATTTGTAAGCTACAGCAGGAGGTGGTGGCAACCCTGGCACCTGCATATCAAGTTTAGACTAATTTCCGGATCATTCCATTTAGCCTGGCAGCTGTAGAGACACTGGAGATAGCAAGCTTCTAGCAGAGAGTCCAACAGTTGTGGTCCTTGTGGAGGATGCATTTGTTCACTTATGAAGTATTTAGATAATGAAACAATGCAAAAGTCAGATTGTGGAAGTTAAAACCCCATTCATAAGAAACTAGATTTCTAAGACAAGATGTACTGTGAACTACAAAATTGCTGATCCTCTGATTATGATACACAGCAGCATCATGGGTAATGTAGTTTTGCACCATGAATGCTGCTGTATATCATTATGAGAAAGTCAAAGAACATCATTTATTTAGTCTCGCTGGGTTTTTTTAATTCTTTGATATTGTATATAGATGCATGTCATGATTAACTTGTTAGTATAGACAAGATTAAGAGTTTTGAAAGAGCAGTTTTGCATGTCTCCTTCTATTTCATATGCCATCTTAATGGGATCGTAATTGTTTTCCTTATTGTTAAATACACAATTCATGATGTTATTAAATACCTTTTTTTATTGATATGGGAAAAATTTATGGAAATATTACCACTGAAATAACACCACTGAAAAAGTGTGTGTGCATTAATAAATTTTACACTTATACCATAACCTTACCATGAACCATCTACAGTTGGACAATATTACTTGATGCAATTACTAGTACTTGTAATAATTTAATAATTGAACAATGATGTCCGATAACAGATTTAATGCATTTTTAAATGCAAGTTTTGGGCTATTTTCATAGATGTGTTAAGTTCACTTTGAATTGATTACTAAGGTATTTTCTAGTCGTCTGTATATTAAAGTCTGCATCAACCGGAAGCTGCAGCCATTTTTTTTCTTATTGTGATGCATTCCCTAGAGAAATGGAATATTAAATAAGAAAATATTTTCTACTGCAAGCTTATTGGATGTAGTAAAGGGTTTCAGGAAAGTTATTACAACCTAACAGACACCTTCTCCTCACCGGGCGAGGAGGGTAAATCTTGGATCTTACTCTTGAAACAAAAACTGAACAATAAAAAGGTGTGAAGCACCAAAAGTGGCCCATTGGAATTGTTGTTATTATTATTATTATTTTGGCCAAATTCTGACGGGGGAAAATTAAATGTGCTGGCCAGTTTGTTGTTTGCCTAATAAATGACAATAGGCTACTGTTTTTAATTTAAAACTATTCCTATTCTTTTCTAATGTTATACGATGTCAGAAATGTGTTTTTTTTTTAAATAAGTTTTATTTTTCACATTTCTTTATACTAACTCTTTTGGAAATATATTTGCTACATCAAAAAGTGTGGTTATGATGACCACCCGACAAGCTAATTCAGCTAAAAATAGTGCTTAAAATGTCACTAAAATGCAGTATTTAAATCTCATAATTAAATAGAAAATGAGGGGTATAACTGCAAAAAGGTCCACTTTTGAGAATAAAGAATCACCTCTTTTACCAGACTACAGGCCTAGGGGTGTAATCTGAGAATTTAACTGAAACAACAGAAAGTACATTTTCAGATTTTTAAATTTAAAATACAAGGGCAAACTATTATTTTTCTTAATGATATGCACCGATTGTTCACCACAAAACTAGCAATGTGAGCTAACAAAATGATATGGTTAGTTTCGATTTCATTTGTACTTTAACATCATCAAGTTACCCTAAACAATAATTTTCCTGCATTTTCCATATCCTCCACTTAATTGAGCACCTCCACACATCCATCATTCCCCTGTTGTGTTGTTTCTGACTGTGTGCAGTAACTAATCCACCCCACCCCACCCGCCCTGGCACTAACCCATCTCTCCTCTCCTCTCTCCCTGCATCCACTGCGCGTGCGTGCAGGACAAAGCCAAGCTAGATGCGGAGCGCGTAAAGTTAGAGCGACTGGCCAATTTGCTTGCAGAGCTGAAGACTCAGTTGGACACCTGCCCTGAAGCCTTGAAAGAGCAACTTCAGCTGCAGCTCTGCAGGGTCAGTACTCACCCACAGCCTTCATCCTCCTCTTCCTCATAACCGACTCCTTCTCCTTTTCATCACTGCTGCTTGCTTGACTTGCAGGACAGACGTTTAGGCTGTTTTTCCCCTTTCGCACATGGCATGTGCTTCCTGTATGTGAAGGAATGCATTGCATGAGATTTTTATGATATTAAAATATTGTTTCTGGCACTAATTGGTAATGAATGGGTCATATTTCACTTCAAAAATCATAAGGCAAAACTGATTATATTTTTAAATCAAATTGAAACGTCTAGTTTAGAATACAGTAACAAACCAAATGTACAATTTATTATACATAAATCACTGATCAAATACTATTATTGATTCTGTCATAGAATCTAGCATTGTATACAGTTTCTATTGTACATTTATATGTTCAGGTTTTTGCTCTCACTCTAATTAAAATCCTCAGTTTTTTTTTTGGGTTTTTTTTTTGCAAAATAAAAGACAAGTTATAGAGAGGTTTTAAAAAAGACACTTTAAAACAGTGGTGCCCAAACTTTTTCCTTTTTCCAAAAAGCAAACCTGATAAAGGCCTGTGTGCCCTAAATATATAGCAAACCATATACAGTATATTAAATTTGTCATGGTAATTTTGCAATTAATTCGGTAATATTTTAAAATATCTGGAAAACGTTGCTTTAAATCAAATTAACTAATGTAGTATCATATTTACCATTTTATGTTAACGTTTTATTACAGTAAAAACATAAACCATTTATAACACAATAGAGTTCAATGCTGAATACACTCTTCCAGCTGCTCCTGCCTTTACCTTAATTTGATCGCAGATGTCTTGTGCATTGTCCTCTTTGTCAAGTGAGAGTATTTCCATTTTAAAATTTCCATTTTAAAATGGTCTGATTCATTTACAACATTTATTTGGTTCATTTAATTTTAGTTGCCTTATTCGTAGCTCAGCAATGAAACAAAGACAAAACAGGTTGTTAAATTTGGAATGATGATCTTTGTCAAATTCTCTCCAACCACCTCCACATCATTCTCCCTCTCTTTTCAGAAGGGATAACAGGCCAAATCAAAGGTTACCATAGGCCAACTTTGGCCCGCGGACCCTACTTTGGGCATCTCTGCTTTAAAATATCTATTAAGTATGCAGTACCATAAAATTGACAAAGAAATCCACAGTTATTACAATAAAACAAATATTTTTTACATTCTGTAATATAAATTATAGTATATACAGTTGAAGTCAGAATTATTAGCCCCCCTGAATTATTAGCCACCCAGTTTATTTTTTAGAGAAGATTTTTTCAACACATTTCTAAATATAATAGTTTTAATAACTCATAACTTCAATAACTCTAGTAACTAATTTATTTTATCTTTGCCATGATGACAGTAAATAATATTTGACTAGATATTTGTCAAGACACTTCTATACAGCTTAAAGTGACATTTAAAGGCTTTACTAGGTTAATTAGGTTAACTAGGCAGGTTAGGGTAATTAGGCAAGTTATTTTATTTAATTTTATTTAATTTCTCTCCGTTAAACAGAAATTAGGGAAAAAATAAACAGGTGTTCTAATAATTCTATATATTCAAATTATTTTATATTTCAAAATAAAAGTTTTCTGCATTACAATAGTGACAGACTGTGTAAGGTTGAATTCTACAAAAATATAACTAAATAATTATGCACTTTTTTTTTTTTTTTGCGATTCACCCTGATAGGCTGTTGAGCAATCCCTGGTGGTGGTCACACGAGCTGTAAATTAAGTTTGGGAAGTTATTGCAAGCTGGCAGGCATTGAATGAATGTATGGAGTGTAGTGGCCGTCTCTACAACATGTAATGGCTGCAGAGTTTCTTTATGTTGGTCCAGTAGCTCGTGTTATGCGAGTGTTGACTTGATTGATCTCTAAAGGTCAATGGTGACAGGTGAAAGTTGTGGCATGTGGTGGCTGAAGGCATGTTTATAGCTGTGACTGGTTGGCCTGTTTCCGGTGGGGTGAAACTTTAACCCTGGTGTCTCCATCCCTCGGGAGGCCAGTGGAACAGGGGGGATTTGTTTTGAGCTCTTGCTGGTTTTTTTTTTAAGCTGCTTGAACTGTAGGAGTATGACGACTTAATTTCCTCTCCACTTTGAAGATACAGATCTTGCACTCATTAAGACCATCATGTTTCTCGTGTATCAGGATGCGGAGACGCTGGAGGTGGAGAGCAAGCGTTTTGAAGACCTCGAGTTTCAGCAGTTGGAGCGCGAGAGTCGTCAGGACGAGGAGAAAGAGTCTCAAACTCAACATATTCTTAGGGAGATCGCAGAATACCAGCGCAGCACCGTCACACGCAAGGTGAGTTTCTTCAATGTTTGTTCACGATTCTTTTGGTACGCAAGTCATCCTGGAAAATTTAACTTAGTGATGCACAAAATATCCGAGACTATATCAGTATTATGTTTAACCGGTAAATGTTATTTTTAATGTTAACGGTGTTAACCTTTTAGGAAAATATAGCATTGGCAAATAATTGATGAATTATTTGCACTGGCTGATCAGATTCAGATGCATGCTAACAGCCATAAATGAGATGGACAATTTAAAAGAGTTTATGCTAGACAAAATGTGAGCAATGTGCTTGTGACAATCTGCTTGTTTGTGTTTTATTTTTGCAATCAGGCTGAGAAAGATTTGTATTTATCAGATAATAAATTAGTTATTATCTTCCAAATAAAAGATGTATCAGTACCGAGCAAAATTTCTAGTATTTTTCCATATGTGATCCAGATTTTTTTTTTTCCTGATAGTGTGACTAGCAAAAAAAACACATGGATTTTTTTTATCTTATTTTGGGGATTTAGATAAAAAGGTGTAACCTCTTAACTATCACCAAACTTTTAAGTTTAAACAAATATATGATTCTGATATATGGATTTAATATATCGTTGTCTAAATAAGTTCAGGTTTAGAAAAAAAAGGGTCAGACTTTTTGCCTTTTGACACAGGTTAGAAAACTGGTTCACATTTTTTTAAATGTGGCAAATATCAGATTCCAGTGTGATCTGATCATGGTCCTCAACTGATCCATATGTAGGGCTGTGTGATTAATTGAAATTGAATCACAATCGTGATTGAAAACGTTGAAATTAGCTAATCGCAAGAGGCTGCAATATGAAATATAAATGTATTTTTTAATTGGGAGTTGCCCAGAGCAAATGCGTGACTGCTGTCTGTGTGTGATAGTTTTACTAGCCAATTGAGTGAGCACACGTTCGTTCTGCTCAATCAGAAATGCTCAACCAAACTATGCAGAAAGCCCACAATAAAACAAACAAACAGGAAAAACACAGACAAGTGGTCTGCCGCTTAAGAAGTATTAATAGATGAATTCATATCAAAGAAAAACAGCATGTCGGTAATATGGGAATATTTTGGTTTCAAAGGAACAGACAACGAACAAAAACAGGTCATTTGTAAGAATTGTTGCCACAGCATGAAAAAATACAACAACCAGCTCTTAAAAAAGCACCACTGGTGACTATATGAGGAGCATCTTGCTAAAAATTCAACTGAAAGTATTGCTAGTGACACTCAATCTAGTGGCAAACAACAGCAAAGTACAATTTCAGAGTTGTTTAGCCATGTTAGTTTGCTGAATGTTCTGTATTTTATATATATATATATTTTTTTTTTTTTCAATATTTTTTTGGTTTGTATAATAAGCTACACACTCTCCCTAATTGGAGTACAACTTGTTTACAGAAAGGTAAGGTCATTTTATTTGTGTTTAAGTTGGATTGTTTTATTTCTGAATTTGAATATATGTTTGAGTAAGTTAATATCTTTTCAGTTCCTTTTTTTAACTAACACTTGCTGCATTTTAGCAGTAATAAGCTACGATACAGATTATTGAGCTAAAGCTAGACTATAAAATCAAATCGCAAATTAAATTGAAATTGCAATATCTGTCAAAAAAATTGCAAATGGAAATTCTCCCCAAATCGCACAGCCCTATACCCACATGCCAAAAAAAACATTTAAATGTGTTGTAACATTTGTCAATGAGTAAAATTGTCACAATGTCATACTAAAGTAAATTCAGAGGCCACTGATGTCAGTGTTTATATTTAAGGTAATGATGTGCCACAGAAGCCAGCAAATTTTTGAGTAAGGTGGACAACGATGCAATATTTTCTAATATTTCGAGTACAACTCCTTAAGTGTAGTTTAGAAAAAGCCATAATACTTATACCACCTCCCTTTCCCTCAACTGACTTCACACAGCATGCAACATGTCATATTCACTAAGTATTAAAAATCGGTAGATACGCAGGACATTATGGTAAGAATTGTGTAAAAACAATCAAAATATATACTGAGTTTAATCCCTATTGTTCTGCAGTCTGCAAGCAGCCTCAGACACCATTAGTTATTTGGTCATTAAAGGGGACCTGTTATGCCCCTTATTACAAAATGTAAAATAAGTCTCTTATGTCCTTAGAGTGTGTGTGTGTGTGTGTGTGTGTGTGTGTGTGTGTGTGTGTGTGTGTGTGCGTGCGTGCGTGCGTGCGTGCGTGCGTGCGTGCGTGCGTGCGTGCGTGTGTTCAGCTCAAAATACCACACAAATAACGTTTAATAACTCTGCTTGAATGCAAATTGTGCTGTTTTGGTGACTGTCGCTTTAAAATGAAATGAGATTGTGCAGAGCTACAAATGCCTATGTGTCAGCATAGTGGCAGATTCAGAAACAAGACTAACATCCTATGCTAATGAGGGAAAGTTCGTCAATAATGCACAGAAATTTTACTCTGTGATGACATGTATAAAGGGAGAATGCCCATCAAAGTGATTCTGCAGACTGAAAAATGAGAAGGAAGATGAATTCAAAAGAAAATTAATAAATATTCACCATTAGAAGCTGGGTATATTCATACTCTGTTGCCCCACAAATGTGTTAAACCACTTATAAAAGATATTTTTGCATAATTGTTCCCCTTTAAGTGAATGACAATATCACTCTCTTTCTGCCTGTCCTCATCCTCTTTAATGCCAGAACACAAATCATCTTTAAATAAATGTACAAGTGCACTCCACTTCAGCAGCCTTTCTGTTTACTTCTGTTCGACAGTGTGCTGTGTGCAGTTTAGGATTAAAAGAAGTTCAATCTAGAATCAATTAAATGCATACTTTCTGAATAAAGTCAGTTTCAAGCTTTTTAAGTGTCTTTTATCATTCTAGTGAATGATGGTGAAGTTGTTTATTGCACTAAAAAGTAGCAAATGAGCAATATTTTCTGTCAAAAAATTAGTTTTAACATTCACAATATAAATTAAGTAAACTATATAAACTTCTGTCATGAGTCTTTATATGACCCTTCTCAAAATTTATATTGTAAACACAACCATTCAAACACATCCATATGTTTGTCACCCTTAGGAGAAGCTCCTGGCTCTGAAGAAACAGTGCACCCAGATTTCCCAGCAAGCTCAGAGAGACAAGGACAGCTTTGTGAAGGAAAAGAACAATCTTCAGATGATGCTACAGCGAGTGAGTTCATACTAGTGGGCTTTTTTTTTTTTGCAAACTTCATTGATGAAAGTATGTTCAGTGCTTCTGAACCATGACATTCCTTGTTTTCTTCCAGGAAAAGGAGAATCTTGTCAGTTTGGAGAAGAAATACTCCGAGCTCACTGGGTCATTGGGTTTCCCTGTCAATCCTATCAGTATGAAGGAGGTAAGCCTTAAAGGATTGGGTTTTCTCATTTTATTTAAAGCAAATCTGTCCTCTCTTGGACTACACATGCATTTTTGAGCACTTCAGTCATGTGTGGCAGCCCCAGAAGGTTACTGTAACACCACAAAGGGAACTACAGTAAATAAGGAAGTCTTCACTTTGATTGCTTTTTCCCCCCGTGTCCTCATCACGACCCTTGCAACCTGCTTGCAGAGGGTTGTTTGTATTTTCTCACTGTGGAAACGGGGTCTTTTCCCCTGTATTCCAGGACTGCTTCCAGTTGGCTGACGTGTGTCCACCTCATAGTGAATTTAGCCATGCCCACAAAACCCTTTCTCCACTTCCTGCTGATCTCCTGATGTTTTCTTCTCTTCTTTCCTCTCTGACTACCAAAAACGCTGAGGTAATGCATTAGTTGTGTGCATCCGGAATGCTGATTGTTGCTTTTTGCCTGCTTTTCAAGAACAACTACTAACATGTTGCTTCTCTCCGGGATTTTGAAAATAACATCCTAATTATTGCTCTTTCACTGCACCATTAATGCTTTACATTTCTTGAGAGTTTTTTTTATTTCCTTAAACATTAACTGTCATGAATTAATTAATTTAAAATAATTAATTAATTATTCATTTATTTATTTATTTTATAAATTCATTTTATTTTAATAATTAATTAAATCAAAAAGTTGATTGAATAAACCTGATTTGTCAAACATGACAAATAAAAACAATTATTATTTTGACCAATTTTGATTTTCTGAAAGAAAATAAAATCTATAAATATGAATATTTTATTAAGAATTTGGAGGAAACAGTTGTATTAAAAATAACATCCAAATTAATCGTTTTTTTGTCAATGCTTTAAATTTCCTTTAGCATTAACTGTAATTAATCTATTAATCAATTACATGTGTTTATTTATTTTAATTTGTAATATTTAATTTAATTTCTTTATTTTTTCATGTTATTTTTATTTTATCTTTTTGCATATCATTAATCATTTTAACCTACTTGAATATATGTCTTTTCCCTTTCCCCCTTACCTCTCCCCCTCTTTTCTGAATGGTTTGTTCCACAGGGCTATGTTACAGTCACTGAGCTCAATGAACTGTACTCTCAGCTGGGGGTTGATTCTTCCCCAAACCCTCTCCCTACCCAAGCCCAGTCCTCCCCTGACACCCCTGCCATGGGGACTGAGCCCAGTCCTGACCCCAGTCCCGCCGAGAGCACTGCCCCACCGGGAGAGGCTGAGGTGTGTGTGGTTTATGTGTGTTAGGAATTAAGTGTGTCCAGAATTTAGCTTATACATGGAAAGTACTGGAAATACTGGGTGTGAGGTCATGTTACATTGCTACTGTGGGATTTGTATTTTGTGATTTATTTGCATTATTTGCTTCCCTTTCTCTTTTTATTTCTTTAAAAAAGAGCTCATATCATTTTATTATACAATAATAATTATAATTTACTAGGCATGTGTTTGATTAATAAAGATTTCCCCAAAATGTTTTATTTTGTCAATTTTCAAAAAATTTATATGGTAGAAAATGACACCTAAAAACAAAAAAGCAAATCTGCTGTTTTCAGAATTTATGTATATTTTTAAATCATTTTTCTCTTTCTCTAAAGACTAACATATAATATTTAATTACAATTAGATAAACACTCTACTAATTGAAATATTGAATATCTACTTGAAAATAATAACTGATAATTTATTCAGTTTAATAATATTTCAGTTTTCTAATATTATTAATAATATACTTATTTTAAAAAGTATTTAATTACTATAATAATTTATTAATTACAAAAAATGTAATTTACTATATATTTTATTTGAAGACATGAAATTTTACTACTTAATCATAACTGTCACAATCACCAGCAATCTAACCCTCATAGATCGCTGGAGAACTTTCACTTTCACTTGGACTACAATTCTGCCACCGTATGAACTACAACTCTCTTCAGGCACCACATGCACACACCTGTCTCGGTACTCCATTAATTACACACTCACACAGCTAAGAGCTACCCAAAACTGATTACATGGACTATGTAAACAGCACACACACTCACAGACATTGCAGAGTCTTGTTGGCACATACCCTGTAACACTACTAAGCGTGTTTCTGTGTTTAATCTCTCTGTGTTTTGACCCTCGCCTACAGTGAAGGGGAAGCCCACAGAGATAAGGGAAAAGTCCATAACTTGAATTAGCGTGCCTCAAAAACCAACATGGAAAAGTATGTTTTTAAGTGGTTCATTTAGTAAATAAATAAAAAGGGTAATTATTACACAGCCTGGAAAATTGGTGATGTTAGCAATGTTCAAAAAATCTTGAAGGATTCTTGACATTCCTTTTTGAGGGACTGCTTACCTTGACGCTGAAGGACCAATAAAACTGCTGGATCCATTTTGTGGCTGAGTCTTATGTAACTATAGGATGCTGACAACTGAGGCGAGGATCCACGTGCTGTTAAATTAGGAAGTAGGTAGTATGCCAGGCAATGGTCAGGCACAGGAGCAAATGGGTACATACAAGACAATCCAGAATCAGGTCGAATGGCAGGCAGCAGACAACGCAAACAAAAGTACAAGGGAAGGGTCAAACACGGAGACAAAACAAGAGAAAACGCTTTGTGATGTTACAGGGTGAAAACCAACAAGACTCCGCTATGTATGTGAGTGTGTATGCTGTTTATATGGTCTATGTAATCAATCTTGAGTAGCTCCCATCTGTGTTTGTGTGTATTCAATGAAGAACCGAGGCAGGTGTGTGCGTGTGGTGCCTGAAGGTAGTTGTTGTTCATATGGTGGCAGAGTCCAATTGAAAGTGAATGTTCTCCAGCGATATATGAGGGTTAGAACGCTGGTGATTGTGACAATATTTATTGTACAAAATCAAGGCAAAATCAGTTTTTCATGATATGACTCTTTTTAAACTACCTAGTCTTATCAGCTCACCTTCTTCTGGCATTATTTTCAGATTTTCTCTTTTCCTCTCTTTGCCAAAGCTCTCTCCCTCTTCCAGTCCACTGTCCTCCTCCATCCTTTCCTCTTCCTCTTTCACTGCATGCTCTCATCCAAACCCTAAACCTCCCTCCGTGCACTGGCCAGAAGACATGGTCACCTTCCTCAATCCTTCTCCTCCTCCTCCTCCTTTGCCTGCAAAAAAAATGCGCCGCCACAGGCAGGTAATCCTTCTGAGTGTGTCTGTACATATGAATGTAATTATCACTGAAATGACTTATCTTTAACCTTCTGTTCCTCAGCATTTTCGCAGTCTAGAGGAAAGAAAACGGTACGGTAAAGAAGGCGGAGCTCATTTGAGTGACACTCTTCCACGCAAGAAAACCCAGCCCACTATTACCCCACAATTCACCTGTGCCACCCTGGGTCGCAACATATCCCCTAAAGTAAGAACACACTATTCATTCATTTATTTTCTTTTCGGCTTAGTCCCTTTATTAATCTGGGGTCGCCGCAGCAGAATGAACCGCCAAGAATAAACAAAAGCGGATGCCCTTCCAGCTGCAACCCATCACTGGGAAACAACTATACACCCTTATTCACACATACACTATGGACAATTTAGTTTACCCAATTCACCTATAGCGCATGTATTTGGACTTTTGGGGGAAACCGGAGCACCCGGAGAACACTCACGCCAACACGGGGAGAACATGCAAACTCCAAACAGAGCTGCCAACTGACCCAGCCGGGACTCGAACCAGTGACCTTCTTGCTGTGAGGCAACAGCCCTAAACACTGAGCCACCATGCCACCAATACATGATACACTAATGATGACAATTTTGAACTGAATGGTTAAAAAAAATTGCATAAAAATTTAAAAGACAACATTTGAAAAAAAAAAAACATGAAAAAAATTTTACCGACCTCAAATTTTGAATGTTTGTGTACATATGTAGTAAAAACTCACTCTAACATTAGTCTCTCGTGTACAGTCTCATCCACCTTTAGCTCAAAGCTCCAGCTGTGGGAGTGTGTTAAACCGAGCCCTAGCCATTTCCCCTAAAGAGACACACATGGATACACACCGCCTGCACAAGGGTAAGGCTCTTCACCTCAAACACACACTATCTAAAAACACACACTGTGTTATTATATAGCATTGCATCATGCACATCAAAAGTGGTGCTTTGTACATCAAACGTCACCTAATCTTGGATCACTTTCTCTATCCTGCAGGCAAGTCTAAGAAAGGTACAGTAGTCTAGATGTGCCTGTTACATAATTTCCATTCAAATAATATCAGTCTTGGTTTGGCGAAGAATGACTTCCTTCAGGGAACATTTATTGCCTTATTCATTGTCTGATGTCATCTCCTGTCTTGTCAGATCTCACTGAAATAGAGAAACCTCCAGCGTTTACTCCCTTTTATTCCCTATTTCTCTCTCTCTCATGCCTTTTATGGGTCTTAAATAACAAAGCTGATTCTTAAATGAAATAATCAGCTATTTTATACATATTACAGAGGAATGAAATCATTAATTTCATTCAATGATGTGGTGTTATTTTAGTAATTCTGCATGATGAGGTGTGCCTGCAGTCATTTGTTTTCATTTTCATTCTATTCCTAGACTCTAATTGTTATGTCACCCTGCTGTTTATGGTCTGTAGTGGGTGTTTATGGGTATTTTGACAGAAATGAGGCATGGCTCCTATAAAATTCCTCACGGTTCTTCTGTGGAATTCACAAAGTTTATGTGCGGTCACATGAATGAATTTAACAGGCAAAAAAAGGTACAAAGACAATTGTCAACAGTTTAACAATATAAAACACAGGAGACATGTAAGTTTTTCAAACCAAGCCTTTTTTGTTATAGTAATTTGGTAAAATATTCTCTTAATGCATAGATGTTTGTAATTAAAATGAATTTCAACTAAGAAAATTCACTGAAAAAGTATTAATTTAAATATGATTGTATAATGAAGGCCAGCTAGTAAAAGCTGTGTGTGTAAACCTCACACCCCAAGCCTCAAAAGGTGCATTAGGGACTAATGTTACAGGCTCTAGTCTGTAGCATCCTTGTTATTCGCCATTTCCACTGAGTGGTGCAGTACAGTACAGTTTGGTTCGGTGTGCTTTTATGGCTGTTTCCACTGTCAAAAGGTACCTAAAAGCGAACTGTACCATACCACTTTTTGGGCACCCTTTGCAAAGGGTACCTAGCACAGCAAAAGGGTACCAAAAGGTGGAGCTAGACACGCAGCTGAATGCTATTGGTTTACAGAGATACATCACTGGCGCATAAACAAGCAGAAGAATGAAAACAAAGAAACCGTTATTTTTAAATATACAGCCAAGATATTACATTGTGATACTATATGCATATAATAACGAGTCATGGTCAACCCGAGTTCAGACAAACCTTGTCGTTGTCTTGATGTACAGCCACAAAGCAAAGAAGAACAAAATCTGCTGTGTCCTGTTGTTTTTTTACGAGGCCGTCTAAAAGTGTTAGCGATTTCACTTTCCCCAGGATGCTCGCAATCGATTACATCTATATTTAAAGTAACAAACTTCTTGAGCTGATGATAACGTGCGCGTGATTATTGAAGTGCTTCTGACTTCTGATCCTTTCAGAAATAAACAAACGTGAGAGTGAAACGCAAAAAAACAAAAACAAAGGAGAAGCCTGAAAAAAACATGATTTCACTGTATTCACTGGGAAATAGATCAAATAAATTATTTCACCAACCTAAAACACAAACAAACTGTCATGTTTAACTATTATCATATTATTATCATGCCCACCAAAAGGGTCCCCTTGGTAAACTTTAGGCAGTGGGAACGCCTAATAAAGGTGACCCGTACTAACCTGTATCCATACTGTACCAGTCAGTGGAAACGGGCCATTAGTGCACCTACCTCGCAAGACAGAAATGCTATGTTTATTCCCGAGTGTGGAAAGTATAACCACAAGGATCACGTTGGTGCCGTGACTCGTGTGGGAGTGAGGTTTATGGAGGGTAATGCTCACCCCAAAATCAGTGTCAGATTTAGGCATGGGCAATATGAGTGATCTGCATTTTGCTAGGGGTGGCAACCCCTCCCTCCCCACCCCACAGGTTTCTCTTTTATCCATGACACCAACCCCCCCTTTGCTTTCGTCCGCAATACCACTAACCCCAACAAATGTTGAAAGAGGAACAGAAAATGTGCAGAGTGGTGGGGAACAAGGCTTGGGATTGAGAAACACATGTGTAACCTCAAGGCACACCGGAGACTCAGACTACAGGCTTCAGTCTTTTGCATTGTTTCAAGGGCGTTTTATGGCAACAGCAGTTAAAATCTAGCTTTAGCTTCATCAAATACCCGGCATGCAACAACACCACTCATGATCACTCATGGTCTCATCAGTTGTTTGTGTAGCAACTCTTAGTAATTGTGAAATTATGGCTCTCTGAACCCTGAAAACAAGCAAATCAAGATCCATTGAAGTAAGTTTGCCCAATAAAGCCTTGATGTCCTCCAGTGGGAGGTGTTTATTGGAACTGGGTGGAAATGTTTAGTACTTATTTACTTGTTTTGTGGAGATAGTGAAAGAATGTTGGAAAGATAAAAGACAGGAAATGATTCCACTCTGTTTCTGTATCTTCGCAACTTTCAACTTGATGAGTTTTCATATTTACTTTACTTGTTGTACTTTACTTGTAATTTACTTGTTTCTCCTTTGAATAAGTTACTAAATAAATACATTAAAACTTTTTAAATATTTTTGAGCATTATGACTTGGTTATTAGATGAAAAACTAAACTGTTGTTAGGGTTTTGGACGGTGTATCTGAAGATCCCTTGGGTAGGATCATCAGTAAGGCGGGTCTCTGCTATTTCTTGAAGTCGTTGATGTTATCAAAGTTGTAGTGGATTCAAGTCTCATAGCCACTGAGCTAATTCTAGCCGTACTAGATGTTCTAGCTTCAAGTTAGGCTCTGAATCTCCAGAAGAAAGGATAGATCTACAACACAAATATATCTCTTCAGTGTGGACTTACAGCTCAAGAAGGAACTTGGGATACAATGTGTGAATTGGAGTAAGGATTTGTCTCAAATACACTACAATTCAAACGTTTGGGTTCAGTAAGATTAGGAGATAGATAACTTTTGATAACTATTTAAATACCTTCACTGTCACTTTTATTCAATTTAATACATCCTTGGTGACAAAATGTATTGATTTATAAAACAAATAAGAGAAAAGAAATCTAAACCCAAACATTTGAACAGTAGTGTATACCGTTGGGATATTATTGCACAGTGGCAGGTCTTAGCGAGCACAGTAAAGGGCCCCAGGGTGCCCTAGGCATTGACCGTCCAGAGGACATTGAGCTGTGTGGCAGAAATGGAGAATCGGCTCCTGGTATTGATGCTTCGCTCACAGGTAAAGCTGAGTTGGCATTGAAAGCAGGAGAGAGAACTGATGTTAATGTTCTAATGTTATATAAATGTTTAGTATTGCTACATTTTTGTTTTTATTCAATGTTTGGTATGTTTTTTCAGGCCGCAGTCAGCAGCATGTCGGCGATGAACACCGAACTAGGTTGAGTGATCTTAGTGGCCGTGCATCCTCACAAACCAACGTTTATCTGGACTCAATTGGTTACCAGGACAATGGTCGTGCCTTTGATACACTGAGTGTGGATAGCTCAGACAGCATGGACACCAGCATCTCTGCATGCTCACCTGACAACATCTCCAGGTGAGTGGTTTCTGCCACCGATTATATCTTGGTATATTTAAGGGATAAAGATAAACCTTTTGGTGGTATCTGGGTAGGACATGTGCAATATTTATAATCTACAACTATTGCAATTGCTCTTTTAATGAAGTGGAATATAAAAATATAAGAGAATGTTCATGTTCATAAATAACAATAGAAGTCTAGGGTTGATGCCACTTAGATAAGAGTGTACTGTGTGTTTCCAGACCTACAGACGGATCATATAAACTCGTGACACATACCATGTCTATGTAATGAAAAACATCCCCACAGAGCTTATTGTAGTTCAAGCCAAAAGTTCTGTCTGGGGAATAAAAATGAAATATGGAGAACAAAGGCAAAGAGAAAAGAATAAAAAGATGGAGAAATCTAGGAACCATGTTTGAGCGCACTTGGCTTCTAGTCTCAAGTAGGTTACCATAAACCTTATGTCTGTTTGAGAGCGATTACTCGAAGACCTCAGTGAAGAGACTTTGACAGATGAGACCACGTGAGGTCATTTCTCGAACGGTGTGTGTTTATGTTGTATGCATATGCGTGTGTGTGTGCTGGAGGCAGTGGATTGGTGCTTGTGTAATTTGAGTGGTTTGCTTGAATAATGTGAGTTGTGAGGGGCCCAAGAAGGACCGTTGGTACCCCCTCCTCTCCTCCGGGGATGGATCCACTCAGGTTACAGCAGGAACAGTTAGAGGAAACAGATTTAGGGTTTTTTCCCCCTCAGTTTGAATGTAATCAGCCACAGAGCGCGGGTTTGGACTGTTCTTGGGGCTTTGTGTGGTATGTTCTGCTTCTCTCTGCTGGCTCTTTGGGTTCTAAAGCAGGAATGACCTCTGTTGATCTTCGGCATCACTGGTAAGATATGATAAAGATGAAAGAACTGATTGATAGACATGTGAGGCATACATGTGTGCAAGAGAATGGAAACAAGGTGGCCAGATGTTACCGTTTGGCGATTAGATGGAACGACAAAGAAGAAAACAGGAAAAATGATTGATATTTGAATAGAGCTGGCTTGTAATGTAGTTTCGATGTTTTGTTTTTGTTTGTCTTCATTTTAATTAATAATAATATTTAAATTTGTCTCTTTAAATGTGAAATTACTAGAAAAGATATCTAACAAAAGTCTCTGCAAGCCAAAATGTCTTATTTTGATACTGGAAGAATCTGAAAGCTTTCTCTGTCATGCATGTTAATGATTGACAGCTGTCCGTCATCTGATTCCAAAGCTAAAGGCTGCTTTGCACTTGAAGCAAACTTTTTTTTACATTTATCATGCACACCACACTACACATTCATTGAAATATTTACAATAATCTAAACCCCTGCACATGCAAAACCTGCTCTGTAATTGCTATTTAACTGACAGCTACAATGTCACAGTATGCACTTAGCGGAATTCTGATCGGTCTTCTGTGTATTATTTTACATATTGATTTGTGCCCACACAATATATAGTTTCAGCATCGATCGATATTGCAATAGTCACATCGCAGGATATGCAATGTTGAGCTGGGATTATAGTTGATTACAATCAGTGCAGAGTTTAATTATAATGGGGTAAACCTTTATCATCTGCATGCATTTTTTTAAGATAGTTCACTCAAAAATTTAACTTGACTCATTATTTTCTTTTTACCCTTTACTTGTTTCAAATGTTCATGAGATTCTTTCTAATGTGGAACACAAAAATAAGATGTTTTTTATAATGAACGATTGAAACAAGTGAAGGTGGAGTAAATAATGGGTTAAATTTCATTTTAGGGTAAACTACCTCTTTAAGGCCTGTGATCGTGTGAAAGTTTCAACATTTCAGAGATTAAAACATCCACCACCAATTATAATGCTTGTAATTTTAATAATGATTACATTATACAGTGCTCAGCATAAATGAGTACACCCCATTTTGAAAATGAATATTTTTATCCATTTCTCTGTGAATATAGGTCATATATTTCAGTGCATTTGAGCAAAACAGATTAATTAAACATACAGATATACATTATTTCTTAAAACAATATTTTAATCGACAATCATCCTTAGAAATAAAAGATTATACATTTAAATTCATGAGATAAATTCAATTCAATAAATTACAAACTAAAAAATTCAACAAAATTGTATACATTTATTATTTCTCTTGAATCTTGCTCTTTTTAAAAAAAATTATATTTTTTCCTAACATATAAATTTGGGTGTACTAATTTTAGACTGTTATTTTGTTAGATAAGCTCAAGATTTGACATCGGTACTAACTAATCTACTGTATATATTTAAATTGTAAAGCTTCCTATAGAAATATTCATTTAAATGAGAGATTTGTGAGGGGTGTACTCGTATATGCTAAGCACTGTATACAATAAAGACTATGCAGTGTTGATTATTCAATACTGTTAGACTCTCCAGAAAACTATATTTCAAGTTTATTTTTTCTATATTGTATTAATCTATGCTTATGATGTATTTGTTTTATATTATTCCAGATTCACTCCCCTACAAAATCACCTTAATCCATCTAAAATGTAGAGTTCTTTCCAAATAAAGCTATATTTACAGGTACATCACAATGTATACAGTATCACAGAAATACAAAATATCTCAATGTCAAATTTTTCCAATATCATGCAGCCCTAATTGCTCTCTATTCTCTACATCTGAGTGAAGTGAGTATTGTCAAGCATGGTTTAACCCATACTCGAAATTGGTCTTCTGCTTTTGACACATCCAATGCACATGCATAAAAGGAGTGAGGAGAATGGATTAACCTGCCTTACCATCTATAGAACTCCTAAACAAAATTAAGTGTTGATTCTCATATACAGCGAACAGAAAAATAATGGATCTTGATACCTATATCAACAGCACTTTTATGCAGTAATCCTAAATGTTGCCTTGGTAATTTGCGATTTTGCAAGCACTACCACTGTCTTCATGCAAATAGCAGATATAATGTAGAAGAGCACATTTCTGGAGGGTATGTTTTGTTTTATGAGAGTTATTATTTTTGGAGTGTCCATAAATAAACATTGGAATGGCATATGGTTTGACCTGGATAGTGTTTCTCATATATTCTGAACAGGTGAAAGATTTAAGGACCATATTGAATGGCCAAGCAGAGAGGTGAAGGTTTTAGAGGGCAGTTTTACAGAGAGGAGTGGCTGGTCAGATCTTTTCCACGTGTTTATTTTGAAGTATGGAAAGCATCAGACGTCAAGACTGTGGCCCGCACTCCCTGGATTGCTAATGTGTTCCAGTGCTGACCAGCTTTATTGGTTCCTTCTGTGTTCTCGAGCATATTTACAGTACATAGAAGCCTGTGCTTATACGACATGCTTATATTTGCATGTATTTGCATTCTTCTTGGCGTAGGTCAAATATATAATGTCTTAGTGTCCACTTTTTGTAGCATTGCCGTAAGTAGTAAAATGTAATGCCTCATTTCTTATTTTTCGGCAGTGCCAGCACCTCCAACGTTTTGAAGATTGAGGAGATGGAGCGCCTCCTCCGGGAGGCTCAGGCTGAAAAGCATCGGCTCTTGGAGTACAGGGTAATGAAACGGCCACACAAACCTGCCACTTCCTGCTAACAGTTTTACAGTCCAGTTTTTCAGCACACCATAAAGCCAAATGAGCTCCATTTGGCCGCATTGATCTTTAACCGTGAGCTTGTTGGCCCTGTTTGAAGTTTCTCGGTCAGCCATGAGCAACAAATTCAGCTTGAAATGCAGTAACGCTGTGGGAAATGAGCTGCTCTTCCTGTATCTGATGTTGTTCATGGGAGTTTGTGCTGGAACAGACAGTACTGTGCAGCTTTAGAAAGGAACTTGTTTCGGTACTAAACAGTCTCTTTTGTTTGTGTTTCAGGAGAGAGAGATGGAGAGTAAAAGCAGGGCCCTGGAAGAGGAGAGGAGGAGGAGAGAAGATCTGGAGAAACGATTGCAGGAAGAAACCACCAGGAGGCAGAAGCTGATTGAGAGAGAAGTGAAACTGCGTGAAAAACAGCGAGCACAGGTCCGTGCTGTGCAAAGTCATTGCTATTAGTGCTCATAGCCTAACTCCAAGCATTGAGTTGATCTTTATATTGCACACATGAGTGCTACCAAAAACCACAACCACGTATGAATATGCTTGCAACTCCTAGCAAAGGACTAAAATACAAAAAATGCAATATCATCTGGGAAACAGTTTGAATTTACGCTAAGTAAAAAAACATTAGTGTTTCATTTGTGACAACACCACATACATATACTATGCTGATGAGTGTGTAAGTGCATAAGTTCATAGTGCGTGAGTGCATAGTGTATAGTGTGGCATTAGAGACGCAGCTACTGACTATGTTTACATGGAAATAAGTAATAAAATTATTTCCCTTAATCTGAATATGGGAATAATATGATTAGGGTGTTGACATGAGATGCTTTTTGAATGTTCCTTTCATGACGCTGTTTTACATGTTAGAGCACATAATTCGATTAAAGTCAATGCGTCACCACCTATCCACATTTCCTCTCATGTCATTTCATGTCATTTCGGGTGTTTCATTTTTTTGTCGACTTCACTTTCATTCAGGAACATTTCAGGTGTCTGTGGTCCTTAACTGACTCGATAGGTGCAGAGAATAGTGTCAAACAGCCAGGTGTAACAAAACATGGCGAAAAGTCCTACACAACGGTAATAGTTTAAGTGTTCATAAATTAATAAATAATAAGTGTTAATAAATTGAGTGTTATAATGCGACTAAAATCGGCATACACTCTTGTCTTTATCTGATTTCTGTTTAGTTTGATAATGACCTTAATCAGATTAATCAAAAATCGCTGTTTACATGTTTGACTCTTAATCCGAGTAGTCCTAATCACATTAAAATCGAATTATTTGTGTTCATGTAAACATACTCATTGACACATTTACACAATAGCAACAACACAAATGTGGAACAGATTAAATAAGCAACTAGCAAAAAAAACATACAACTGAACTTTATTAGTCCTTAGTAGGCCCACAAAGAATCTGCTCGCACAGAAATACGCAGATTTATAGCCCATCGTTCAGTCTATTTACTTACTTGTTTAAATGTGTACATTTATTTTTATTCAGTTTTTAAATTAATTTCAATTTTATTATTATGAAAGTGTTTATTTGATTTTTTTACAATAGTTTGTAAAGTAATATTTTCTGTCTTTTAGTTCATATTTTATAGGAGAGACTTGCTTTGTTTACCAAATAAGTGGATCTAGATGGATTTGCATTGTAAACATTAAATAAAAGTTAAAAAGCTATTATATTTTATTTCATATAATAAGTTTTTAGATATGATACTCCCAAAATAATTCCACATAATTCCCCAATTTTACCAAATTCTCAGCAGAAATAGAAAAAATATCAGCAGATTCTGTCTGGCCCTAGGTATTAGCTCCATTGAATATAACAGTTCGTCTTTTGATTTTATCGAGTTGTTAAACATTAACTAAGAAAGTAATGACACCAAAGATTGATAAATGCTTTGCAAGTAGTTTTCATTGTTCATTTAGTTTAACTTATGCTATCAAATGGAGCCTTATCAAAAAGTGTTAACCAACAATAGGCCTATAAAGAATAACAGTTTAATTGTGGCCTTTGCACAATGAAATGCGAAATTATCGTATGCGCTTTAAGTGTTTATATGTGAAAACTTCATCATGTAAACAAACCTTGCACACTGAGCCGATGCGTGTTAATTATCCATTACTAAAAAACACGAAATATTTCGGAATCAGTTCAAGATGCTTTGTTCTTTTCTTTTCTACAAAGTAGAAAAAGAAAAAATAGGCTGCATATTGTGTTCATTACATAGAGAGAAAGGCGAGTTCAGCTTATTATCAAAGAACTGCGCTGGATTATCTCCAAATGCAAAGTTTCTTTTAGTAAATCAGTGGAATTTTGATACATTGCTCGTGATACTTCACACTTTCATGTACGTTAACAAATCCTGAACAGAGACTGGCCGTATCAGACATTATAATAGATGGCAGCCGTGTTGACGTGTCAAAGCAACAAACCCAAATCAATTTTTAATTCAGATTAATGAGAAAATGTTTGTTTTATAGCCTATTATGTCTTCAAGCACTTGGTGCTGTGATAAATATCTGAATATTCTTAAAAGACATTTTAAAAGAATAAATAATGAAGAATTATTCACTGTATTTTTAAGCACCCATCATAACAATTGATAATTTTGAGAGATGTAAACAAAAACAATGGTCCTAATGTATTTCCTGTTTAACTTTTTTAATTCCCGTAGCTTTCAAGAATCCAAAAAGGTCCAGATATTGATAAATAATGTTATGATAGCTGTTTTAACGTGAAGACATGGTTAAATTACCTCTTGTTACATTTATGAAATATTATGATAACAAGTAGGAAATGTTCAAGGGCCAGTGACATCACCACATTGAAATGGTCTGTATCAGGCATGTTCATTGTCACGATATATTGTATTGCTGAATATCATATCGTCTATTCAGAAACTTCAGCAACCACTCAGAACACCCTAGAAATGTACATCCCATTTTGAAAATGAATATTTGTATCCATTTCTCAGTGAATATATGTAATATATTTTGGTACATTTAAACAAAACTGATTTATTAAACAGGTATATTTATTAAAATAATATTTTAGTCACCGAACATATTTAGAAATAGAAGAAAATACATTTAATTTATTGTGAATTATTGGGAAAAAATATAACAAACTACAACCTTTGACAAAATTGTACACATTTTTTGTTTCTTTTGGATTTTGCTCTTTTTAACATTTTTTATTTAATATTTTTCTCCAACATATAAATTTGTGAGCACTCATTTTGGTCCGTTATCATGAGTTATTTTGTTAGATAAGCTCCTACTTTGGCTTTAGATCTGACTAATCTAATATATACACTACAGTATGCACGAATATAATATTGTAAAGCTTCCTTTAGAAAATACTAATTTAAGTGCGAGACTTGGGTGCGCTCATACATGTTAAGCACTGTAAATAGTTATACAAACTACAAAATTACAAATGGTAAAATGTTTTTTCACTGTCGCTTACAGTCTCGTCCCCTGACACGCTACCTGCCCGTAAGAAAGGACGACTTTGACCTTCGTGCCCACATCGACTCTGCCGGCCACAACACAGAGACCTGTTACCATATCTCCATCACAGAGAAAACCTGCAGGGGCTTCCTCATTAAGATGGGCGGCAAAATCAAAACCTGGAAGAAGCGCTGGTTTGTCTTCGATCGGAACCGCAGGACCCTGAGCTACTATGCAGGTCAGAAGATTATTAATATATGAAGTCTGTTGAAATTGGTTACATCCTGCCAGTATTGACTTTTGTACTTTTGTTTTGTATGTGCGTGCGTGCGTGCGTGCGTGCGTGCGTGCGTGTGTGTTAATGTGTTTGTGTGGTTTCAGATAAACATGAAGCCAAACTGAAAGGAGTGATTTATTTTCAGGCCATAGAGGAAGTGTATTATGATCACTTAAAGAGCGCACACAAGGTAATTTTTCATCTGCAGCTATTAATTATTAATGTAATAAGCTTTATTATATATGCAACTATTTAGATTTGACTGTAGATTTATTTAAAATGTTAAATCTTTATTATTCTTAATTTTAATATGTAATCCTTATCATTTTAATTAAACAAAGCTTTAGATTTTTGATATTTATTTACACTTTTATACATATAATTATTAAGATTTACCAAATTAAGCATTTAAAATGATTAATAGCCATAAACACAGTCTGTTATTTTATTTTAATCTATAATAAGGTGAATATGCAGTCATGCTTTCTGGCTTTTAAAATAAAACGTAGCAATTTTTATTTATTAATGATCCATTTTCTATGTTCATGTACTGCCCTCTTGAGGCCAAAACCTAATCTTCCATCCCTCTTTTTTTTCTTTTTCTTTTTTCTTTTATTCAAAAAAGAAGAAATGTACAATATAAATCAGGAAGTAATCTGTAGTAGACTGGAATACAAGAATATACTATTACAAAGTGATAAGAACAATAAGTAAAAATAAAAATTAATAGAAAGAAAAAAAGAAAACAAAATAAAGAAAGGGGAAGTACAAAATTAAATTAAAAATATAGAAAGCATTTATTACTAACATACTGGAAGCATGATATTTTCTTAAGTTTCTATTAACTTGCAGACTTTTTTGTTGTTAGATAGACATATAGCTTTAAGCAAAGAATCAATTTCAATAAAAAAATGGGCAAACGAGGGAGAGGATTTATGAAATTTTTGTTTGTGAATAAAGAATTTTGCATGTAATATAAAAAGTATATAAATATTCTTCATAATCTTCCATCCCTCTTTCAGAGTCCAAACCCTTCTCTGACGTTCAGTGTGAAGACTCACGATCGTGTTTACTACATGGTGGCTCCTTCTCCAGAAGCTATGAGAATATGGATGGACGTTATCGTAACAGGAGCCGAGGGATACACTCAGTTCATGATTTAGACATTATCTAATGGAGGAATAATAAGTGTGGTGTGTGAGTTTAAACACCGGACTTGATCTGCACTTTTCATTATTGATTTCCCTGAACGCTGGACTGATTGTGTTCATTTTTCCCTCTGAGTATCTAGATTCACAGTATTGAAGCTTTTCTCTTCGCTGCCTTCGTATTTTTTAATTATTTTTATGCAACTTTTTAGCGGCCCACATGACTGAACTATAATATTTGTGTGTATGTCTTGGTATTTGTCTGTGTTTGTGTGAAGAGGTGTTAAATGATTTTTAGTGCCAATGTGCCACGTTGTGTGTGGTCTGTTTGTTACCTTGTGTACAGGGCCTCAGGGACACACACACATTATGATATAAACAGCTGTCAGCTGTTCAGCCAAAGACGAAACACTCAGACACACACTGACCACTACACGCTGTAGAGTTTATGTATAGATACATGTTTTGTGTTTGTAACATTGCCTTTGGTTTTGTATTATGTTGATATGCCTGTATACCCGACATTCATATTAATCAAAGGTGCTAACAGACCCAGATTACCAGTTTAAAGCTATTACAGGACTACAGTTATTCAATATGAAACTCTCAAACTTTCCAAAACACTTAATGCTGCTTGGCATTCAGGTATTATGCAGATTTTTAAGGATAAAACGTCTTGTGCACACATAGAAACTAGGTTTTTAAGTATGTTTTATGATATTTTATTATTTTATCATAATGCATATGTAACATTTGCATTTTTATAGACTTTATTCATTGCTTCTGGGCTATCTTCAGGGTATTGATGTATTTCTTTTAAAGAAACAGCAATGCCACACGCAAGATATCAGAAATTATTATACATAGTAACTAGATTTATAACACTAACTGTATTTTTATGGACAGTATTTAATGCTTTCAACCCATCTTCAGTTGGTTTGGAGAGACAGCAGTGCCACAAATGTAGAAGCTAGGTTTTTAGTGTGTTTTATAACACCTCTGATCATTTAATCAGTGCTTATGTAACGTTTACATTTTTATGGATTTTCTATAATAATCCACAAACAAGACGTCACCGGAAAACCAAAAAAAAAGTGTTTTTTTTTTTTCTGATCTGTAGAATTAAGCATTAAGTTAAGCCGGTGCTTACATCACATTAATTCAGTACAGTCGGAGTTGTTTTATTAGTAAGATTTCAATCAGGCAGTATTGAAAAGATTTCACTGCCAACAGCAGGGGGCGACAGCCATCCAACACATTCACACTTGCTCAACATGTTAGCCATTAAAGCTCGCGTCTGTGAATTAGCCAGTTGTGTTTTGAATATTGTTAATATTCCTTTGAGATTCATATTTATACTTTTGTTTACTGTGCATGCACCTTTTTTTGCATACTGCAAAATAAAGCAGATGTATAATGTTTCTAGTCTCTGTACTTGACATCCCAGCTAAACCTTTATGTCCTAAATATGTGGTCATCTATCTAGATGTCTAACCTCGCTCCCGCAGGCAAACAAGACTTGCTGGACAGAAATCAAATTAGGGATTTGAGCAATAACAGCTTAGTCTTGAGGTCTGATTACTCACTCTGAAAGACGACAGATAAACAGACATTCTGTAATTTGAATATTTACATGTGCATTATCATTTAAACATCCTCCAAGCAGGCTTGTGCGTGAGTGTTGAGCCCTGCAGGCCTGCTCTAATTTTTTCATGTTTTGCCTTGTGAGGATGTCTGACATCATCCGTGCCGTGATTAATGCCCTATATTTGGTTTTCTTTTGTGGGAATACCGTCCTTCACTTGTCCTTCTTTTTCAGAGAATACTGTGTGTGCTGGATTCTCCCACGAGGAGTTGCAATCTCGAGCCAAGCAATCATTTGTCAGTTTCCTCTAAGTGCTTTTCTATAAAGGTGTTTGGGCCACAGCGTTCCCTATAAAACATCCTGTTTCCATCCAAGTCCTTTGTGTAACCCATCATCTCGCTCTTTCATTTCCCCCTGATTTCTCCCTCCTGCAGTTTTGTCAGTTTCTTTATAGTGCTTCCTGCATTGAGATGCATGTGCACCTCATGGCATGATAACATTAAAGGGATATAGTTCATCTACAAAAAGACAATTTACCATTAATTTACTCGCCCTCAGGGCAGCAGAAATGTGGGATGAAACTTTAAACTTCTGTAGAACATTACAGAACATTAGAACAATTGTTGTTGCTGAAACTGTGGTAAAAGTCAGTGGCTGCTGGCACTTCGAGAGTGAAAGTAGCATGTACAGGTGAAACAAAAACCAAACAATCAGTCCCCCATTTCATGAAATTAGCAATATGTACAACATTTGACCTCGAACAGTGCAGACATCACAGTTTGGACTTCGAGTTTCCTAATACATAAAAATTGTAACAATATTTTGACTCTCAAAGTTCTGGTATCCGTTTACTTGCATATTCTGAATCACCAAAACCACAATTTCAGCATGATGTGCTTAGAAATGTGTATTTTTATTTGACGTATAACTAGGCTTGTCACAATAATCAATATATCAACTTAACGTGCAATACTTGGAGATGACCTCAATATTTTTTCAGGTTGCACTATATATTTACAAATTCACCAGTAACTCTGTGAATTGCCATTTTACAGTGACTTTTACAATCTACCTCACCGGTGTAAAAAGTTTCAAATTGGATATTTGCTTAATAGGGCATTTAGTAGTATACATAATAGGACATTTACCTTATTAACGTCAAATTATAGAATATAAAAAACCTTAAGAATGTTAAGTATTTTAAAGTATTCATGGCTATTTGCATTATTATATTATAATGAAATAAAAAGATTAATTGATTTCATGCTGTTATACACATAAGCATTAAATAATCCGTGGCTTAAAATGATCTCAAAATGTCAATATGTTGCTTATTGCAACAATTTTCGTTTCAATATATCGCACAACAAAAATTCCATATCATGACTAAGTTTACGTTTGACGCAATTTCAACTAAAACATGTGGACGAAGGGGTGGGGGGGGGGGGGGGTAGCTCCTCACCTTTAAAAAAAAAAAGCACAGATACTAGAGCATTTGATTGGTCAGAAGAATTGAGTGGTTACATTTTGTGAAACGTGCCTGTCAGCATCGGCGTCAACTACAGCGAGGGGTATGCGATCATCCGAAGGCTGCGCCGGACCAGAAGAATATAAACAAAGACTACAGAAAACACAAGACATGTCACTTGTCTTGTATCTTTTTAAATAGGCCTTTTTCAAACTTCCTGGTTCCGGTAAGCGAAGCAGTGTACCACAACATCCGGTTTCAATGCGACGGAGCAAGAAAGAATGGCAGGGTCATCTCAGCGCTGTGATTGCTGCGTTCCCAGCTGCTCCAACTCAAAAACGACACTCTTACTTTAATGACCACGATCTCCCGAAAGACGAAGGACAGGGAAAATCATGGATGACAATATTAAAGGGGGTTGAATGCCGTTTCAAGTTATATGCGGGAGTACATTCTTATGCTGTATGCATTTCAAAGCGGAGATTATTGTTTCATTAAAGACTGGTGGTCTATGGTTTATTTTGATGAGTAATTATAATATAGACAAAACTCCAGTTAAGCTATCTGCCTTCCACAAACAAGTGCTCATCATGGTCATTAATCTATAAGCATGATTTATCCCTACATTGTTGTTATTTTGGAATAATATACAGTTCATACAAATGCAAATCTTTTTTTTTGATTGGTTTGACAGCAAAATTATTTGTTTAGTCAGTTATATAATAAAGATAGTATACTTTAATGTGTTATTTAATGTGTTAATGTTTAAAATGTTATTTGCTGTTCTTTAAATAAATAATAAAAATGAATATTATCCACGAGTAGGAGCTAACGTGTTTCCAGACTTGAGAAAACCTCACGAGCATTAAACAACCTGTAATGTATTAACCGATAGCAACTCGCCTGTACAGCTACCTCGCCATTCACTATATCTGACTCTGAATTAAAAGGAAGGAGGGGGTTAGCACAGTTTACAGACGGGACTACTGACATAAAACTCATCCTGCTGGATGTTAAATAGCCAGGTTAATCTAGTTTACGAATGGCTTGAATGAGCAGATTTTATGCTGTTGGCTGTGCACCTTACTGGAACCTGACGTTGCAAACGTTGTGTAAGACACGTTTTCTGCACAAACTCTGCAAATCGGTATTATCTTTTAAATGCTGTTTTATTTAGGCAGTTTTACACATTCACCGAACAACATCTTCCTGTCCAAATTATGGCAAAGTTGACCGTGAGAAAGTCATCCGCTGTCCCGAGGCTGTCATGTCTCTGCGACTCCTAGCGAACCCGGAAATATCGATACACTGCTTCGAAGGGCGCTTCCGGTGTTCAATTCCGCTGTGAAAAAGGTCTATAGGAAAAACGACCCAATGGGGAATAAGATTCTGCCTAATAGTACAGGAGCCAATCATCCATCAATATATGGTGAATAAAGCCCGCCTTCTAGTACAGAAGCCAATCATCGATCGATGTAGACTGACGATACGGCGGGGGGGAAGGGGGGAGGACCAGATGTTTGTTTCTGCAGATTTTGTAGAACGATTTCGCAGATGATTCCTAATATGAAATTTAAGCTTGGCAAGCAATTTTGGAGATTTTGATGTTTCCCCATTCAAACAGAATGGGTTGTTGTTAGATCGGATATGGTTGTGGCTGGAAGTTAACGAGAATTATTTATAGTATTTATTAAATTTCCCATTTATTGTATTTTATTAACGTCTACCCCTACCCCAACCATCACCAGTAATGTAAAAACAGTGGTTGTACCAAGTATTATTTATGCTATCTATTAAATTACCAAATAAATTTTATTTTTTACAGCCTACCCTCACCGCAACCCTAAACCCAACCGTCACAGTATTGTAAAAATATTGTTATACAGTGTCATTAAAAAAATACTGCTATATTAATGTGCATATCGCACTTAAAGCCGGTCGCGTATCCAATCTAGACTTTACCAACAGAATGCCCAACATACTGCCAGAGAGGTGTTTCAAATATGGCCGCAGAGTGTAATAACTTGCCTTAAAAGACTTTGTTTTAAATCAGCCTTAAGTGTGTTGGAGCAGGGTTGAAACTAAACTGTGCAGGGATGCAGCCCTCATGGAACTGACTGTGATACCCCTGATTTAGGTGGAAGTGCCAAACTGCAAAGTTTGGATGTTTATATCTTCTAAACGTGAATTTTGGAGCACACTAGTTTATAGATATATTGTTAAAACATTTGAACAACAGTGTATCGGTCATGTGTGGAATCACCTTTAAAATAGTTTTCATGGTTTAAACTTCTTTCAGCTGGAAACAAAAAAAAACTTTCAAGAGTAATCAAGCAGGCATCTAACATTACTGGATACCCACAGACTCAACTTGTAGATTTATACAATTATACTGTAAAGAGCAAAGTAGTTTCTATTGTTTCTGATCCTTCTCATCCATTAAGTTTATTTTTCTGGGTTCTTCCATCAGACTGTCGTTTTAGAACAGCACTGGCAAGAAAAATAACATGTAGTAACTCTTTCGCTCCAACTGCGATTAATATTTTAAACAAGGACAAACAAGAATTTGTGTTTTAGGTTTGATATTTATTATTAAGTGCTATAGTGTCAACATAGGCTCATTCTGAAAACAGTGCTCTATATACGTTTTTGGAGATGCCGAATTATGTAGCCAGAACTATGTATGTCTGCATTTCATTTTTAAAATGAATGCTACGGGGTGGTATGATGCTGTTCCCTTTCGCACTTACCAGCTGATCGTCTACTTCCGTATGGATGGCTTTCCCACTGTTACCAGTTTGTCCAGTTATCTCGGCATGTACATCGATGGACTTGAGATGCAGAGAGCAGTTGACCAGGACAACGAGGTTTGAGTCTGGTGAAGAATGGTACCAGAAATCAGGGAAGAAGCCAAAAAATAAAATAAACAAGTAAATAACAGTGAGAATGTGGGAAAATATGAAAATGTGGTAAAAATCAGGCTTTTCTTTTTCTGGATTGCTTTAGAAAATTATTGGTTGGGTTTAGGGAATTCAGTGGGTGGGTCAATCAATACAATTGGTTGGGTTTAAGGAAGGAGGAGGGTAAGTCAGTCGATTGGTCAGTCAGTCATTCAATCAATCAGTCAGTCGACAGCGGCCTCTAGTGGATATTCACAGGCGCGAATGGCACTCACAAGAAAAATTTAAGATCACAGCGGCCTCTAGTCGATTCGTAAAAACAAAAACTGCAAAAAAAGGTAGCTCCTGGAACGTATTTTCAGTCTCTAGAAATGTATATAGAGGTACATTTTCAGAATGAGCCTGGGTTGTATAGTGTGGTCCTGGTGTTTTGTGCATTTCTTGTATTGTTTATATATGATAATATGG